GAATTTTGTTCAAACACATATTCTTGGTGGTTTCTTGTTTTGCTGCTAAAGGATTACTGTAACTTTTGGTGGGATCAGTTGCAAATCCATCTATCATAACCTAAAAAAACAATAGTGCACTAATAATCCAAGTCCATCACTATAATCAATCCAGAATATTGTTCTGTGACGTACTTTTGTGGTCTATAGAATCCCCATTATAATTTCCCCTTATTTTCATATATGAGCAATATTGAAAACCCTCCGTCCTCCGTTTATACTGGCTGGTTTCAGAACGGGTTTCTCATAGATGATGAGACTCTGAATCAGCTTGAATCCCAGTTTTTTTAAACTAGCTCTCCCAGTTCAGATATGTTTAGCTTAAATCCCCCTATTCTTATCTATATGATTCATATTTGGCGTTGTCTTATTAAAAATCGTGTACTAAATCATCATGTGGGGATGGGTCAAACCCCTATCCCCCTGGTGAACATCAAAATAGCTGGTAAATGGATGTTCATCCCCTAAAAATAGTATGTAGGTATTGATCCATAGCCATGTTCCCATCATTTTCCCGTGACATTTGGCACCAAGTTTGGGCGTTGCGCCTGCCGTCGCGTCTCCGCAAGCTGTTCGGCCTCATGGAGGTCACCCCGCAGCGCCTCCAAGGCCTCAACCATGAAAAACAGGCAAGGTTTTACCATAAAAAAATGGATGTATATATACATATCATATAGAATACATATATATATATATATTCTAACATATAATATAATATATATATATTGTTATTAATAATAATTATTATTATTAATTATTATTATTATATTATTATTATTATTATTATTTATTATATGTATCTATCTATATATATATTATATATGGGTTAGGGGAACCTTCAGTTCGAAGCCGGAGTGTTCAAGGGTTGAAGTATCAAAACATGTGAGACGTGTTCAAAAAGGTCTTGTCTTTCTGAAGGCGCTAAGGGAACGCTTCCGCCGGAGCTTAGAAAAAAAGAGACGACTTTCACCATGTCTTTGCGAACTGGCAAACCATGTGGAGATTGCACCAATCAAAATGCAGAGTTGACCGAGAAAGAGCAGTTCAATGGCAAATTTAACGATTTCACCACAAATTGGGACTTGGCGTACAAACAAATGAATTGAACTAGTGCACAAATCTGGGGATGTACCAAATAAAACGTGAGATGTTTATGTGCCCACCCACTAATGATGAAACATGCGGGTTCAAGCAACAAATATTGGGGATATGGCTATAGGCTAGGCATTAAATCAAGATAAATCAAAGGATATGACTGATCTGACCAACCAACATCTCTCCGATTTTGAGAGAACTAAGACCTGCATGGAGCAGTTGGTCCAGCAAGTTGGAGTTTCTGGATATGTCTAGCTGTGATGGTAATAAACTGTGTTCAAAATGGACCCCAAACATTAAAAAAAAAATCAAGCAATCAAACACTGTATGATTACTGTACGATCATTTTCAATCCTGGTCGGTGGTTTCAACTCCCCTGAAAAAATGAAAAAATACGCTCGTCATTGGGGATCATTATCCATTTCTATGGTTGAAAGTTGTTTTCAACCAACAAATCGGTTGAAACCACCAACCAAATACGCAACATTTATCAACATTTATCATGAGCCCCAAAAATGACAAAAGCGGCCAAAATCATCTTCCAACCCCTGCTCTTCAGAGGTCAACTAAGGTCCCTGCGCCGGGCTTTGAGGGGATGGTTGTGATGGTTGCCATGGCTGGTGATGTCAAGCAGCTCAAAAATAGAATCCGCAACAGTTGCGGGGTCTTGGCTTCATAAATTCAATGGTAACTTCACATAAATCAAGAAACATCATCCCATTTTCTTGAAGGATGGAAGGGAACTAAACCTCTTGAAACAGCAACATGATGCAACATGTCATCCAACTAGCAATATTCCCCTCATCTTTGGCGCTGTCCTTACCTTTGCTGCTTGGAACATGCTCTGCGTTCCGTGGGAAGTTGATGCACCTCAGGCGCCGTACAGAGGGATTCGGAACTGCATCCCATCCCATCGTCTATCGATCTATCCAGCGATCTATTCAATCTATTCATCCATCCATCTATACATATGATGTCATATGATCATTTTAGCCATCAAAATGGCCAGAAACTGGGGATCACTGGAGTATCCCCTATCTTAAATCAAAGACTTGACAAACTCCTTTGACTTATTGAAAGGAAACAGCCAATACAAATTGAGATCTTCCAACTTCGAGTGGACTGGAAGATGTCGATAAACGGTTGAAAACATCATAAGGTTTCAAGTGTTATCCTTAAAGTTGATCTTTAACCAGTTGTCATAAGGGTACTAGAAAGCAAGCTTTCAACCCACCTTCTGTCACATTCGGCCAGATTCCCCCATCACCACTTTAATTTGTCGCTTCAATGGGTTCGACAAGAAAGTCATTGGACCAGACACCTATGTCCAGAATTGTAGGCCAAGCCTGTCCTAGCAATCGTTTCCGAAAGGTGATTTGGGATATCGTTTAACGTATCAAATCCGATCGATGATCGATGACTGAATGGTCCATGAAAAGGATATCCCTGAGCTTTCAAGGAATAATTGGACATCGTATGGTCGACTTGGTTAGTTTTAGTTCATGTTTTTCTAATATATGTAATCCAAACAATTTTGAAGAATTCTAAAAGAATGCAACTGCATTATTTATCCCAATCAAAATTGGTTGGCTCATAATAGAATTGATGTTTTCAACCCAGCCTGAAACAAAGACTACATGTTGACTGCTGACCATCTTTTCAAACAGGACACGTTTACACGTTTTCCATCAGTTAAACCGAGAAACCTGGTGCAACATCAATCTTCACATTCAAAGGTAACCTCCGGTAATGGAACATGGCTAGCTGGAAAATTCCCCATAAATTCTCATCTAAATAGAACATATCAACGAAGTATAACGAACGATTTATGGTGATTTTCCAGAAAACCATGTTTGATTTCTCTGGGTACATTTTGACCATGTGGTATCCCCTCATTTTGACTCAAGAACCTACCATCTGGTTATTTAACATAGCCATGGAAAATCACCATTTTTAATAGGTAAACCATCTATAGATGGGCCATTTTCCATGGCTATGTTAAATAACCAGATGGTAAATGTCTCTAGGCTTCCCCACAATGCGCCTCTAGGCCACCGCCGTGCGCCGTCCCCGTTCTTGGCCGCTCTTCGGCTGGACAGGGAACAACGTGGCGGGGCTCGCCGCGGTGAGCCGCTGCGGTTGGGGATGAGGGATCGCTGCGCTGCGGAGAGCTTTGATCTGATCCATGTTTGCATTCAAAATGTATCATGCATATAATATATAATTTATATATGTAATTATCATATATATTATATATCAAAAATCAATTCACATCAGTTCATATCAATTCACATCATGGAAATTATTCAGCCAAGCACAAGAAAAAATGGTTTAGATTCGCCCTGAACCAATCATGGTTACCGTTGCTGGTTAAGCATCGCCCTAAAAACGAGCCTTACTTAACCAGCAGGTCTCCGACCTGTCGGGGTTGAAGTTCAACCCTGAGAAATATGGAGAAATATGCGAAAGTCTGTCAGGAAATGTCAGGATCATGACCGGAAAAAAGGTTGACATGTGTTGACATGTGTTGACATGTGTTGACATGTGTTGACATGTGTTGAGATGTGTTGACATGTTGAATTATATAATATCAATATACCAACACGTAATTACCAGCTGTCAACATGGTATATGATGTCAGGACAATATCAATATACCAACATGATCTAACATGTTTCAAATTGTCCAACTAAATCCACCCAAAATTGTCTATGCCATCAGGGTATCAGCCTGATTCAGGCGCGCTTGATAAACCATGATAAACCAGCCTCACTGTCCCGAAATGTCCCAAAGATGATCTGGCTATGAGTCAAAACCCTGGTCGGATGGTACCCTAAGTTGGTTTATGGATGTTTATTCCCCCAAAATATGGTAATACTATAGGTTTTGACCCATCCCCATCTTGCTCACAGTGGTCACACTATTTTTGTGGCATGCGGATTCAACTTAAAAAAGGGGGCGGTTGTTCTCGGCGAATTCTTCACGGTTCAGGCGATGCTTGGCATGCTGTGAACCATCTTCCGGGGCCCTGGAGAGCCAACGAATGCATAAAATCAATAGGTGCAGTATTGAGCCGTATCTACATGGTAATTAAACGACTTGAAACCACTATAAACCTTTAAAAGTTCAAAATTTAAATGGAAAGTAGTAAGCACACAGATATGAGAAACGACCATGAACCACCAAGCAGATTGTATTAAATTGTATTAACATGCTTTTTGAATCCAGTCGATGGATATCATTCACCCCGGGTCATAGATAGCCTGTTTCCCACTGGTTGGAGAGGGGTACTGTGCAATGACACATATGTCATATATCCAGATTCAGAATGATTCAGATGGGTTTGTCTGAACATGTCTGGGTACCCACTGATTTGATGCTTTTATATGCTTTTGGAATCTTTTGGAACAGCCTTTTCAATATAAAATGGCCACTAACAGATGAGCAAATATCACATGTTCCGACGCACCCAGGTTGGTGGGTTGGTCATTTTCAGCCACCAAGGGTTCAGCTCTCCAACGCTTCAGCTCGATGCAAACCAACGCTGCCAACGTTTAGTTACTCAAGCAATGGATCAATAGAATAGCTCTGCATGTTTTGAAAAGACTAGCCCAAAGCACGTGCAGCATCTGCAATCTTAGAGAAGCCTGATGAAGCCTGTGAGAATGATGATACTCATGGTAACCTCATGGTAGCGACTAGCTACCCTCTGGTAATTCAGCAGTTTGTTACGGAAATCCACCATCAAAATAATAGGTAAATCATCTATCTGGGGGATCCTCAAAATGGGATATCCCCAAGACACCATGCGTTTCAATACTAAGATGGTCTAATGAGTCTAATAACTTGGATGATTTGGGGGTAACCCCCATGTCATAGGAAACCTGCAGATGGGCCATGGGTTTCCATGTCTGTGTCGTGGTTGTACCATGTCGTACCCACAGCCGCGGCACTTAGCTCACCAGCTCCTTTACCTGGCCAAGACGTCGATAAACTTTAAGGGCTTCCTGATGGATCAATGGCAAGCAAACAACATCTTTTTGTTTTCCCCAAACCAAACATGTTTGTGAAATGCACGGATATATATATATATACAGTATATAAATAACGGTTATTAGGTATGAATATGTATGAATATGAAATTCAGTGCACAATCCATTTGTTGATTCAAACTCCCCCCTTGATTTTGACCTACATAGCTACCCCCAACAAACCACAACAAAAGGCCCATCCCATAGGCCTTGGGCATCGCCGGGGATGTCAACCTGGAGAATCCAATTTGGGGATTTCCTAAGTCATGGGGGTCCAGTTATCATCCATTTATATCAGATTATAGATGGATTTTCCATTGTAAAGCATCCATAAATGGGTACCCCCATTTTACGAACCCCCCATCTCCACAAAAAATTGTATCTGCTGGATTGACAATGTTCATTTTTCTGAAGTCCACCGAGTCTACCGGCACTGTGTAAGTTCCGGCGAACAAGGAACGATTGTCAGATTGAGAAGTCTATCTTCGGCACTTCCGCCCGTGATCTTCTTAGTTAAGGATGGTGTCGGGTCGACAGAAACCACCTGCCCCAGTTCTTTTAGCCATACAGCAGTAGTACAGCATCATTCTTCTCTATGAGAATAGATCAATCCAGGCTTGTATTGGCTGAATAAGAAAATCCCCCCACAACTCATCCCATCTGTTTTGACCCATGTCCATCCATGTCCCATACCACACATCTATGTAGAATGTACAATGTACACATTACATCAATGAATTACATCTGAATGTTCCCAGCTTTTCCCATATTTTCCCATATTTTCCAATATTTTCCCACATTTTCCCATAGTTTCCCATGTGGCGATGAATTTTCCTCAGTGAAGTCACTTGAAGTCCCCCCAAATCCATTGAGTCATGGGCCTGGGCCCAGTCTGACTCTGCAGGGCGCCTACAAAACATCACGCCAGCGCCGGAAATGGATGTGACTCAAAAGGATACTGTCAATATACAAATAAACAAATATACAAATAATAAATAAAAAACAACATATATTTATAATATATATATATATAAGCATGTGGCTCTACCAGGTTCTGGGCTGGGTTCTTTAGAATATATTTCTCTGCTCTGCAGGCCGCATCTGGATGGTATGAAAGATAGATAATATATATATATATATGTAATTATATGTATGAAAGATAGATATTAGATATGTTTATCTTATATTATCTTATATAATTATTGTGTAAGTATTAGACTCTATAATGATTTCAGTTATTGGATTGTTTCTGATTATAATTGCTAGATCATACGAGTATTAAGTACGTTTTCTTTTTTTATATAGACTATATGATTCGTACATTTTCTTAGTTGATATTTGGGTATATCAAGGCGCCAATGCGGGTATCAAAGAAACATTGGTAATCAAATACTGCGTGACATGGTGTTGAGGTTCAACCGCGGACCGCTTCAATGAACTGGTGATTGGTGGTCCCGTTGCGTGAATCCCGTGTTTCATGTCTTGGGATGTCCCGTGTTTCTGAAACCGTTTGGAAAAAAAAAACGGGATACCCAGTGGATCAATGGTGGAAGATGCTGATGGCCACATTCAGGGGATCATCTCCATCATCTCCATCATCTCATCATCATCTCCATGTCATCTCCATCCCCAGGGTCCTAAAAGGTTGATGTTAACTAATCGAAACAATGGGGCAATGACTACCGTGCCGTAAGATCCATAGGTGAATTTCATGGTGAATACATAGAACTGACCACAACTACCACTGCCATAGTGGCAACTTCCCATATGACCACAACATACCACAACTAGATTCGGAAAAGCATTGATTTATCATGATTTATCCCTGAAGCTGCTCAATCGACCACTTGGCTGAATGTGGCCAAACTGTGACTCTTCACCGACCAGAGATATTCCCTTCTTAACTGGCAAATAATTTGCTAAATGCGTTTTTTTCCATGAAACTTTTGATATATCCAAATTCCATGCCACCACTTGGTCTGTGATTGAAGGAAACCCAGGAAAGCCAGGAAATTGCAAAGACCAAGAACACATCAAAACCATTCAGCTGAAGTTCTGCCGCGCCTGGGCTGTGACCTGTGGGAAGCAGCTTCTGTGCCTGGCAAAGACAAAGGCCAAAGGCCACCGAGGATGCAAAAATATATCCACGCCCCGTCTTGCAATGACAGTGTCGTGTTTTTGTTTGGGACTTGGCCATTCTGAATCATTTCCATGAGTTCTAACTGGTTGACCCTTCAACGGATTATTTACTCTACATGTGGTTTCGAAGAGGTTGCTGGTAATAATTGGGATCATCATCTGAGGTAAGGATGCAGCATCATGGAAAATCAGCATGCATGTTCAACCACCGACCAGCTCTACTTTATTCTGCCCACGCTTGACAAGTGGAGTGTGGCTCCTAGGGCGCTAACAATGGGCTGCAATGCTGCACTACTGTATTCTGAGTAGTAACGAGACAAAATGAGACAAAACTATGCAAGCAAAGTTGTTGAAGCTTGCAGTTGCTGAAGAACATGTTTCCCTTCAATCTGCTTGTTCCTTGTGATCAGGCTGAAACGCTTGAGTCTGCTCAGATCAAGTAGTAGTTTGTTTTTTTCCCCAGAGTGCTTGGAGACATGATGGATTCCAGCGCTGAATCCATGAAATTTTGATGTGGTGATTGTTGATTTTGATTCTCACTGCAACACGTTGCTACAATGTAGCACGGAATGTGAACCACACTTGGATTCGACAGTCCACGAGTGGCCTTGATTGCATTTTTACACATATGTTCAACACATGCTGTACCCCATGCTTCAAATGTATATATATATATATATTATACAACTAACCCAGATACTGGATCATTGGGATTATCAATGAATCTATCCAGTAGAAGGAAATTGATCATCATTTGCAGTAAAAAGTTATATATATATAGTTTATATATAGTTTAATATATAGTTTATATATAGTTTTTATATATATATATATATAGTTTATATAATATATATATATATAATTTTCGGGATTGTCATCATTGATCATCCACTTGCCTTTTGTTTCTCAATGGCCACATCTGTTTTTTCGCCAGCCGGCTCGCCTCTCGGCGCTTTCGCCGCTCATCCAGGATCTGCCCGTGGACATGCCTGACAGGTTGACAGGTTGACAGGTCAGGGAACAAAAGGTTGCCTGATGGCTTCAACTTAGTTAAATTAAATGGCAATAGAAGAAATCGCTGATCTAGAAACATCAAGAATATAAATGAATATAAGACAAAAAAAAGGCAAACACATGTTTTTTTTGAACTAATGATACATGTGTCCAATGCAGAGGGACAACTGGTCAAGTTGCAGTTCGCTTAACTTTCCAAAACTATCCTATCACATCCAGGGATAGGGTCGTCTCAAGTCACATATCCATGTTCCTTGTTTCAGCTAACAGATTCACGAACGATCATCGAAAATAAACGTTGGAAACCTTGACTCTGTATTATTTTTACATTTAATGGCCTGAGATAGTGAAAAACGAACAGCGGTAAAATTACTTTGCTTCGTGTGCTCCCCACAGTGAACTTATTTTGTCATGGTTTCTGACAGGTCATCTGGAAGTATATACGGCAAATATGTTCTGACATTCTATTCTGCCATTCTATCTGGCATCTATTCTGACATTCTTTCTGACATGGGCACTGCCGGACCTCAGCCAGACCTCAACCGCGAGCACCAGATATCAGTAGGCATCGCGGTTGAGATCCGGCCGTGCTGTCTGAGATCTGGAGTTCGCTGTTGGGAGGATGAGGAAGGAGGAAGAAGGACGAAGGACGAGGAAGTAACTCTGATAAAATCTAGAGACCTTTACCTGGCAGGTGGTGAACAATTTCTGCCATTTCATCAACAAAAACACATGAAAATCCAGTGTTTCACCAGGAAGCAACAGCTGGGTCTCCCTGACCCAACCAGATCGATCAGCTCCTCTTGGCCAACTTTCGCACAAGCTTTTTGCCAAGCCTGGCGTCGCGGGGAGTTCTCCAGTTGGTTCAATCCCATTGATTCATTATTATATCGCCAGAAGATCACCAAAAATAGCCACCTATGTATATATATAATATAATATAAATATATAATATTTGTAGAATATATATAGAATATACATATATAGAATATACATATATAGAATATATATATATATAATATGTATATATATATAATATGTATATATATAATATATATAATATAGACAATATAATATATATATAGTCTATAGAGTATATATATACTCTATAGACTATATATATATATATAATATGCATATATATATAGACTATATAAAACAATATATTCAGAATAAATTATATATGCATCTAGAATAATATATATATATATATAATATGATATATATATATATAGAATATATATATATATATATATTCTATATATGTTATATATATATATTCTATATATATATAATATATATAGACTATATAAACAATATGTGTATATATATATATATAGAATAATACATAATATATATATATAATAATATATAATAATATATTAATATATAATATATATATAGATAGATAATATATATATAATATATATATAATATATATAATATTTATATATATAGAATATATATATATATAATAGATAATATATATATAATATAGAATATATATATATAATATTTATATATAGAATATATATATATAATAGATAATATATATATAATATAGAATATATATATAACATATATATATATTATATTAAATATATTAAATATATTAAATTCATCTGGTATGCCTTTGGACCTGAAAATATGCTATCCCATGGCTAGCATCACTCCGTCCACCTCGCTGGCTTGGAGCCGTTCCAAGGTGCCTGCCGGCAGGCTGATGCTTCTTGGATGACTTTGGAGAGACATAGACTTTGGAAAACCATAGGAAAACCATAGGAAAATGGAGGTTTACCCTCTGGTAAACTAACATAACTATGGAAAATCACCATTTTTGATGGGTAAATCCACTATTTCTATGGCCATTTTCAATAGCTATGTTAAATTACCAGAGGGTAATGATTGTTAATATACTTTGAAACACGTCAATAGTCTATTGAAACAAGTCAAAGTCTAAGTCTACTTCTTCTTCTATTAATATTGACTTGTTTCAATAGACTCTTCATTAATGATTGTTAATAGACTTTGAATGTTTCCAAGCGATAAATGTTCAAACAATATTTCAAAGTTGCTTGGAATATGTCTTGGATTACAAAAGAAAAAACATGTTATTGTAATCATTGTCATCCAAGAATGATCATTACATATTCCAGAGGTAAAGATTCTAAAATATTCCATACAGTAGGTATATATAAAGATTCTGTAAATATATGACAACTTATTCCAGAAATGTGGATCATCATAGATCCAGCTGGATCCCATGGCGTCCCCACGTTCTGAGGCGCTGGAGTTGGTGCTACCACTTTGAAGCGCCCGGCGCCACAGATTGGACCTCAAACGGCCGATGTGTTTTCGCCGTTTTCGCCATGAATGGTGTCAGCATCTTTCGGAAAAGGATTGGGGAAACTGGGGAAATTCTGAGATCAAATCTTAGGTTCATAAAGTTGATCGTTCCAGGGATGATTACTGTTTGTTCTAGATAAGTGTGACAACGGAATACCAACGTTTTGCTCCATGGCCAATGTCATCTACAAATTACAGGCAACCAAGGACCCACTTGTCACAATTTGATAGGGCAGATTTGTCCAACCGTATGAGGCAATGAATGGACACAAAAAAAATGTCAAACTGGGCTTGTCATGGCTTGTCCACAAATTTGTTATACACCAAACTTGCAATTTTTAGAGGAACATTACATAATAACATATGGCAGTGGGTCAAAACCTTGTACCCCTGGTGAACATAAAAAATAGCTGGTAAATGGATGTTCATCCCTCTTAAAATGGTATTAATAGGTATTGATCCATACCCATATAATCACATGATGATTAAGCGCCAAGTTTGGAGCACCCCATTTTCAGACAAGCCCAAATCAGACACTCTGAATCATGGCGTTGTAACAAGAAATCATCCTCAATCCCTTCTGTTCCCATGATCAAACAGATCAACGTCTCTCTTGGCCGATGAGAGTTTGTGAGCTCAATCCCTCCTCCATTGGTAGGTCTCAAAGTTGCGGGTCTACACATCTATCCATGTCGAATTCACAGATGGGTATGTCTCAAAATGGAAGATACCTCAAAATGGCCATAGTGTCATAGCGAACATGATGATAAACATTATATATATATAATAAACCAAAACAACTATACAGTAGGTAAAATGATGATAAAAAGAGACCTAAAAAATGGCCATATAATTAGTGTCATAGGGGAACATGATAAACATATAATAAAAATATGATAAACCATCAATTTTTGGGTGGCTATGCCATTTTTCAGACATCCACCAAGGTCCCAGGCAAAGATGTGGATGGACTGCGAGCCATGCCTGTCTGCGCGGCGAGCGAGCTTGATGGCTTGATGTCAGATGTTTATAGATGTTCAACGGATAAAAAGACGGACGTTAGGGAGGTTCAACCCACACAAATGAAGTAAACATTGGAGTTTCAGGAGATTTTGTTTGTTTCATCACCCAACAAGACCTTAAATATTAACCGAACAAATTTGATTTCAACCCAGGCAAAACATCAAAACCAAAGTCTTCAGCAAATCCCGACAATCTGCTCGTCACTTGGCCCATCCCAGCTATGAATGGACTTGAGACTTCTGACTGTATGGAACTACCGAGCAATTATATGATATACCACAGGAAATCCCCTTGTTGCACGGGAAATCCAGCGCAGTGTCACCAAATGTATTCATTTAAAAAAAAATCTATCAGCATCAGCCTGTTGATGCACCACCAAGACCTTGAGTGCATCCCGTGTGAGGCCAGTCGGTCGGGGATACCACTGAAATTGAACAGGGATGAACATGGGAGCATGATGGTGAACCATGATAGGCAGTCCAAGGGTGCACAAGCTTCCCCGGTGAAAACGAGAAACCATCGATCCTTACATCAGAAGATCCCATCCTTGCTTAGACAACCATTCAACATTAGTGTCACCTTGAATCCCTTGGAATCGGGGCTTCGGGGCGGCCACGGCATTTTGAGACAAACCCACTGGCCACAACTTGTTGTTTCTGTATATCCATGAACAAATCCGCCTACCCTCTGGTAAACTAACATAGCTATGGAAAATCACCATTTTCAATGGGAAAATCCACTATAAATGGTCATTTTCAATAGCTATGTTAAATTACCAGAGGGTAATATGTCCATAGATTGCTTGATATTCCCTTCTGAAACGCTTGGGTTTTGACAGCCATGAACTGCTTGGTTCAATCCCTGGTAACGGCTCGAAGTTCTGAGTTTCACACTCGATCGGCTGGGCACCTCAGCCAAAACAATGGTCCTACGATACCCTCTGGTAAACATACAAAAAGCTATTGAAAATGGTGATTTATAGTGGATTTTCCCATTAAAATTTGTGATTTTCCATAGCTATGTTAGTTTACCAAAGGGTATATGGAAACTCACAATTGAGTGTGGAAAGTTAGATTTGTAGCTCATCACAAACAAAAATAATACTATACCGTCATATTCAACAATCAACCCAACATTAAAACATCTGGAAACCAGAAGCGTGGAGTTTGCTCCGAGGACATCACATTCGACAAGTCTTACTAAAATGATATATCCAGCAAAAAAAACTGGCTGAATTGCGAACAGTAACCAAGCTGAAATTAGATATTCAAGGGGTGGTTCCCCTTTCCTAACCATGATCTATGTCGGTGTTTTTGGGAGTGGTTGTGCACCCCGACCCAAACGCATACTGCAAACGTCTAGGATCGTGTGTATATATATATAGCATTATATAGCTATATATTATTCATGCATCCATCTGTGCAATATCCTGGAGTCCTGGAGGCACTTCAGAACGATTACTTACGATATTCCTTAAAGCCATGCTGCTTCCAAGCACCCCGATAGCGCGTACTTGAGTTCCCTGGCTGCTGGCACAGCACTGCCACTTGACCTGCACCAAGGATTAGTGAAAATGGATACTTCTGAGTTGCCAAGATTGAAACCAGCCAACATCAGCCAACAATTGCTTGATCATATTCTATATCATCATATTATGTATAAACATTATCATATATACACACCTATTATAGCATTATTACATATCATGTAGACAATTACATCTGTGATGGATTTTGTTTAACAACTCTATAGTTGTCCATTACTATCACACAATATCACACATATATAATATTCCATTCACATTTACATGTCATACAAACTGATTAGTCGCTGACAGTCCGGGACCCACCTGCTTCGAGGCTCTGGGTAGTCGGCATCCGCCTGGCGGACACCCCCAGTTGTGTTTGTTGCTTTACCCCATGAATACTACGTACATATATATATACTATAGATAAACTATTGGATAAACTATTGGATACTATAAACCTCCCATGAATACTATAAATCTATATCACTAAACCATATATAGTTAACCTTTTGTCGCAACTTAGCTATCGTTCGGGGATCATCATGTGGACCTTTTGTTTGGAGAATTGGCAATTCCCCAAATTGACCGGCAAAAAATGAGGAAAACAAACGGTTTCGAAAAACCATGGGATTTGAAAACAAACCATCACAAAGCCACATTCCAACAGCTGGATTCACAGAATATCCTTGAGCGTCCGAAAAAAATGGCCGCCAGATCATGGCTTCAAACAATGCTTATTTTTCTAGGACCGGACCAGGTCATGGCAAAATTACCACATGATCAGAGTTTCTATGTCGGTATGTCCAAAGAGGTACCATCTGGTTATGACTAACAGTTTGCCATGGAAAAATTCCCATTTTCATTACGGTAAACCATCTATTTCTATGGGCCATCTATACCATGGCTATGTTAGTCATAACCAGAGGGTATGTCCAAAATCATCAAATCAGTCTTTTGCTCTAGAGGAAGCCTTGAGCCGGGCTCATGCCCACTTTTCAAGACACCGACATCTCCAAATGGACCATGATGGATCACATGATCTGTGGCCTCAATTGACTCAATGGACACCTCAGCAAAATATGCAGCAAACAGATGATGTATTTGGAATGTCCATCAACCATCATCAACGATTTTTTGGAATGTTTGGCCATGATCCACCCCAAACAACAGCCCAAATTTCAGCTTCATAGTCTAAACAGACCCCACGAAGATGTGTGCCTTGCTTTGGCCAAGAGCAACCCAGGGTGCTTGACCACGTTTCTCCAGGTTCCTGACTCAACTTGCGAATCAGTTGCCCAGCTCTTGTCCAATGACTCATCCGAATCTTCACCATCATATATGACAGCATCATATGACAAGCCAAAAATGCATCAAGGCAGTTTGATAGCACAATAAATAGCAGCTTATATCAGTTTGTATCATTTGTATGCAATTGTTTGTGCTGATGTCAGCAGCACAGTTGTGTTAAAGAAGACCTTAAGCTCGAGAGAGTGCCATATACGAGGACACGGCTCAGCACGATGAACTTGAAAAACATGTTCTGCTGAAGTTAAGACCGGTCGGTCCCCTGTGGCGCAAAATACTGATACTTCAATAGAATTTAATGTCATGCTATGTCATGTTGGCTAATAAAGATAAATTAACTTGGCTTTTCTCCTTGGGCCTCAAACTTGGGAATCCCCTTTTCCAGTTGTGTTTTTTCCAAAGCAACGGGTGGGTCTAGGATTCAAATCTTCAGTTCTTCGACACCACGGGTCCTGTGATACTCACTCAAGCGCTGGTTCAGGCGCCGCTCGTGGCGGTGCTCCCATTCCAGAGCAGCTGGCAAGTGGCTTGCAACTCAAACGCTCAACGAGAATGTGCGTATACGTATATGCACAATATATATTGTATATTAATATTAAGATACAATTGAATATATTAATTATATATACGGTAACTACATTTGAATATGCGGATTTTAAAACATACGAACAAGTGTTTTAGACTACCTCCTGGGCCTGGCGGTCTGGCCCGCCCTCCACATATTTAAATGTCGTTACCGTATATATGATATAAACATAATATCATACATACATAGATTATATATGAGCCGCGGAAAATATTTGGTACATCACGCAATTGACAGGGTGTTCCTACCTCGTTCTCCAGTCCCCTGGCGTTTTTTGGGGTCTCACCTCATTTTCGATGGCCGCACCTGCTTTGAATGGCAAAATTCTTTACATGCGATGGCTACCTCGTTCTCGGGGTGTTCCTACCTCGCTTTACAACCTAATTATAATGTTTTCGACAAACCGGAGTAAGCCCCAATACATCCCAATACCACTCTCCATTTAACCAAATAAAAGCCGCCACTCATATGTCTCATATGTCTCATATGTAAATATAATTTGTAACAACTTCCCATCCCCAGCAGTCCCTCGGCTAAAAAGACGCTGTCACAGCCTAGATGATGTCGATTCCAATCCACATCGATGATTCTCCTGGGCATGTGCTCCTGAAGGCAATGCCAGGCAACATTGCATCGATCTGTGATGCGCAATGATGAAAAAATGATCACATGGAAAATCATGTGTATAATATATATATATATATGTATAATATGTATATATATATATGTATATATATATGTATACATGGATGTGTTATCAGATATATATGATATTATCTCATATATGTATATGTATACATGCGTATGAAATTATTTGGTTTCGGATTTATCTGATATGGATGATGCAATAGAAGTATGGCTCAACAGTGGGGGTACACCAAAATGGATGGCAAGTTCTAAATTATAACTAGCATATATGGGTTTAAACTTTGACCCATACTATATAATACTATATAATACATATATATATATATATTTTGGTTCTTTTGCAGGAGCACCAGGAAGGTGTCGTCCAAATATTCTTGAAGGGATTCCTGATAGACAAGTGGGGATATGTTCAGCACCTTCCTCTCCTCCGACACGACGCTTAGGTTGATCACTGACACCGTCGCTGTGGCTGCGGGATTTGCACTGGCTGTGGGTTGGAACATATGGAAAATTACTGGAAATCTCAAGCTGGACGAGCAAAAGTTCCCTGACAAATGCTGTACCATTCAACAACTCAATGATGGATTCATTCTTGCAGAGAGTGTATAGTGACATCTTTATGTCTCTGTTTACCTTTTAGACTGCGATCCATAATTTCGCTCAAATGGTAGGATTTTAGATTTTTTTCCTGGAGCCAAAGAGATCGGCATAGAAAGCAAAAGACAGCAAAACACACAGCAAATTCGCGGACTGACACTACTTCGGTGCCTTTTTGAAATTTCCGGTGTCACCATTTTTTCCAACCTTCCAATCATTCAATGGATCGATTAAGGGAAAATCTACAGGAAACTCAGGAAACCATGTTTATGTGTTTTGTTTTTACACAAAATATAAGGTTTTTCTGTAACTTGTCCCTCACACCAATCCATTACGGGCAGCCTTCATCGATGTTTCTGTGGGACCTTCATCTTTGGTTTTGACACGTCTGAAGTTCCAAGACGTAATGATTTCGTCTGAACCGGTGACTGCATAATGTATAATATATGTAATATACACTATATATTATACACGTATGTGAGCACAACTATGTATATATATATATATATGTGCAATGTGTCAGTGTCCGACCTCTCCCATACATTCTATATTGTCTGTGCTTTTTTCTCTAAGAAGTCTCTGGCCTCAATCGCGTCGGCGTGTCTATCTTCGAGCGCTCAGCTGGCACATGTGCATCGTCAATGTCCGGCCGAGCCATTTCTACCTGAAGGCCTTAAGCCATCGGCGATTCAACGGAGCGACGCGCGCTTTTAAAGACGACGTCTGCTCGTACTTCAAACATAATTCAAGAAGCAAGGCTGAATGCAGATTCAGGTATATACATACACTTCAGGTCGCACTTGCGAAAAGGCTTTATATATATTATATATATATATATAAATCTTTATAGTATACTGTATATGAGCCGCCGTCAAAATCAATTGTTTACCCCTGGTGCAAAAATACAGGTTATGGCTTCTTGGGGGGCCCTATCGCTTTGCAGTGTTTGATGCATGTTCCGTGCCTTTTGATCCCCTCCTTCATAAATTGGTCTATGCTGTTTTTGATCGCATCTCATACAATATATATATATATATATATGCACGTACATACATCATCATATACACGCTTGCCAAAATGCTAGCCACTTGGAGTAGATGCTGATCAGCGAGTCCTATGTGGTTGTATGATGTTGTATGCTTATATACATTTAAAACAAATGGGTTAAATAGGTCCCAAAAGTTTTCAAAAAACAACTACTACCAGATTACAAGTAAGTATTCACGATAGCTGATTTCAAGATGACAACAATCCAGATACTGACGTGTCTTCACGTTGTGTATCAACACGCAAGCCCCGATTCCGTTACGTTTCTTGTGATGCGATCAGCAGGGTTGGCAGGGTTTCGAGCCCTACCCAATGTTCAGCATGTCCATGAGACATGGATCTGTTGAAAAAAACATGCTCTACCACGCATCTGCCTTGCTTCAGTCACATGGATGAACCATGTCACATCCACCGCTGCGGTCTGCAAAGTGTACTGTATATTATAGTGATTCATAGCGATCAATATATCATGATATGACCGGATGGATCTGGTTCTGGTTGGTGGCCGCTGATTTAAACTAAAATTATTGACAAACAGGTATAAACTGGCTTGTTCGACTGCATATAGCAACCCTGGAAAGTGAAAAATCAACAGGCACAAACAGCATGAAGTCAAATTCCGAATGGGACGGTATCAATCCAGAAAAGTCGAAATGGTGATGATTCGGTTCATCTAAATCTTCAATAACCTTCCTCTCGTCTCTGCAGACCTGCTTCAATTGCCATTTTCCAAGGCAACCCAAAATTCCATAATTAGCGGCTAATTAGTGCTCTGCTGGGTGGCTCATTGTGACACTAGTTCCACACAGGTCAGATCTAGCCACTTGAAAACATGGGTACCACTTTAAAATGCAATTCTCGGGTATTTAACATCAAATTCTTTGGGTCCAAAAATATGTTGCACATACATCATAATAATATCCTTCAGCCAACATGGAATTGTTGCTCTTTCTGAGCCTCTTGTTGGGAATGACCATCCATTTACCAGCCATTTCGGTGTTTCCCACAGCCACACAGCCTTCCAAGGCTTTATGAGGACACACTCATCGCAAAACAGCTGGATCTTGTTTGCTCGGCGGTTCAGCTTCATCGGAAGCATCGGGATGCGGAGGATCGGAACGTTCCACGTCTTTCTCATTGTCCTGGTGGAAAAGGTGCCATGGAAAGTTTCCAACGGAATCTGGGAATTTTTCATGATTTTTCGATGGCCAAATTAGCTTGCCAGCTTTGGCCAATTTTTTCCACAATGTAACTGATTAAACGAGAAAAGCCATAGAAAATTGAGGTTGGCTTGGGTGCGTTGGTTGTGGTGAGGGGTGCTTCACCTACACAACTGACTGAATAGATATGTGTACAGTCTTGACACTACCAACAAGGACGTGGCTGTAGTTGCAAACCCTTGTACACTGGTGATTATGCTGAGATGAATAACACATCAGAGTAGCACGTGTTGCAATGTTCGCCTGGAGTAAAAACAGGGGATGTCAAAAAGGCAAAAAACCGGTGTCATCAAACGTGGCTAGTTGGGAAATTCCAGCTAAATGGTGGCTTATAATTGGAGAATCCTTATTGATTAATGGTGGGATTTTCCAGCCCACCTGGAAAATTAGTCATTCAGGGCCCCACCCCGAGATCAACCGATACTTGGAGGATCATCCCACCTTTTTAACTGGTAACTATAGTTCTAAGCTATCAATAGGATAACCCCAATGGGGTATTAACCACTGGGATGATCCTCCAAGTATCTTACCTGAGTGGACCCGTCTGTGTAGCAGTGTAGACCAAAAAGCTTGTGTGTAACGCGAGTCAAAGATTCATTGGGCATCATTGGGCGCTTTGAGCCACGATTATTTTTTGCCGTGGAGAGACTTTGATAGTGTTTTGATTGATGACTCTGCTATGCAGCAACAGGATACATCCTCAGTTCTTGACTGAAGGTTGAGTTTCAACTAAGCTACAAAGAACTGCCTGTAGGTGATGCTTTCCCACGAAAAGATACCTATGGGGAGAAGACTCATCAACAACTTAGAGATAGAAATTACCATCTGGTTATGACTAACATAGCCATGGTATAGATGGCCCATAGAAATAGATGGTTTACCGTAATGAAAATGGGGATTTTCCATGGCAAACTGTGAGTCATAACCAGATGGTATCAATCAACGACTTCTCCCAGTGGGCTTTGGTATGATGGTCCCCCGTCTCCCATCCCCCACCGAACACTCGCTCCTCCATAATCCGTCTGGGAACTCCAAACCTGAACGAAGCCATGGGGAATTTGAGCTGTCCAAAACTGTAGGACTCTAAAGAATACAGGCCGATATCTGATATATGATACCTGATATCTAAATAACATTGATCAAACATATAGATTTGAAATTATGTATGTTGGTCACCCACTTTACACAAGTTTTGCATACGAACTCCATCACCCGCTGGGTTCTACTAGCCCCGCCTTTCAATGTCGCTGTCTGAAGAGTCAGCATCGCTGTCTTCGAGACTCGGTGGGAACAATCAATGACCCCTGTGGTTTTACATTTTACACCTACTGTATATAATTGTACTTGGTGGCTCATCCCACTTAGTAAGTGGGTTATAACCCCAGTTATAAATGGGATAAGTAGGGTTAATCCACTTATAACTTGGGTTTATAACCCACTTACTAAGTGGGATGAGCCACCAAGTACTGTATATAATTGTACTGTATATTCAAATTTCAGATCTGCCGACCTTGGATGCAGTTGGAGAGTGTATATTATAATATACAAATCAGATGGCCATTTTTTGATTTCATCGCCACAATGCCAACATGGAACCAGGTTAACCAATCCAACCTTTCCAAACATCAGCCCAGATGAACCCAGCATCTGAGGCTTAGACTCCTCCACCTGAGCGCATGAGCTGGTGAGGGTAAGGTGGAAAGATGTGGAAAGGGTGAATCCTGGCATACTTCGCTGGTGGCTTCATATGCAACGTAATGCCTATATTAATCATATATGATATATATATATATGTACGTATATATAAATATGATAATATATATATGTAATATGATATCTATATATATAATTATATAATTATATATATATAATTATATAATTATATATATACGTATATTAATTGAATAATATGAAGCTTACGCGTTGTAGGCAAAAACGAGCCTACGCCAATGCCTACGCAACCTACGCCATCTGCATGAGAGAAGTGAGGTTTCAGGAAAAACTGTAGCACTCCAGTACTCCAACTACACCATGGGACATTCATGGAGAAAACATGAGAAAACGTGAGAAAGCCAATTGGCACCTGTGCAGAGAGCGTCCTGCGAAGGTTTCCCAACATGCCACCTGGAGATCACTTCTGGGAAGCTGGCAACGTAAATTCAATCATCAATCACAGTTCAAGCCAATTCAGTTCTTCCTTGCAATCAGTTTTGAGATGCTTTTTGTGGGAGTGGCAAGTTCAAACCAACCGAATTGTGGCTCCTAATGCTCCTATCTCCTATTCTCAAAAATATGGAGTTGTCCTAGAAATCTACAATTTAAGGGTACCCCCAAATAATCCAAAATAAAGTAGGACCATTTTACCATTTCGGAATTGAAACTTAAGCATCCAATCATCCAAAGTAGCCCAACGCACCTGCACCTGTGGAGTTGTGTCGGTTGATGCTCCTGCAAGTCATCCGAAAAATGGTACCCTCTGGCAATTTAACATAGCTATTAAAAATGGACCTGTTATATTTGATTTTAATTGATTTAGCTTTTAAAACTGGTGATTTTCAAGAGCTATGCTAAATGACCAGACGGTACAGTACTTGGAAAATGGAAATTGCAAACTTGAGTCATTGGACACATAAGACTTTGTATGGGGTGTCATGCTTGACAATATTGAAAACACACTGCTTAAACAAAACCATGAGCAACAATTGAATCACAACTTGGATTGATCATTGAATGTGACTACTGTACAGAAATAGATGGCCAAATTCGAGAAATCCCTAATCAGTTTCGGGTGTTGAGCCAAGAATGGGAGATGCAATGAGATGCACCAACAAAAATGGGAACAGTTGCCAACCACTATGTGATGACCCCCGTATTTAGCCCACTCTGGTTGTTGTGGATTGTTAAGCGGTTATATCATATCCTCTAGTAAACACAGTTTGAAGGTGAAAGTGTCCATCATCTTCAAACATGCGGACTATCCAGATTGGTTTCATTGTAAACCACCCAATGACTCATCAGGTTATGAGAATATACAGAGAGAGAGAGAGAAGAAAAAACACGGTTTTGGACACCATTCAGCCTCGAGCCTTTTCTTTTGTTGGTGTTCAAAATGACGGTATGAATTATCCAAGCAATACAGACACAAAAAATAAAAAACAACATAAATCCCATGTTCATCACATTAGTTCCAATTTCCGGCCACTGTTGTTGTTGGTTCTCATCACCCCGTCTGTTCTTGTTGCCGGGGCCGCAAGAGAACTCCTGGGAGGCATGAACCACATGGGCCGCACGTCCAGACAACCCTCAGGGAAGACCTTCTTCACCATCCTGGACACCCATGGGGGAATCTTGCGGGACTGGGTGTGTCTGAAAATGGGCTACCCCTAAACCTACTGGCAAAGTACAGGAATCATCATTTTCCCGATTAATCCCTATTAATATGATAATGTAATTGGGGTACCCCATTTTCAGGGACGAAAATGATGGTTCTGTGTTGTGAACAAACATGAATAATTAAATGATAATAAATGATCTGGAACTGAACTTGTTGATGAACCTGGGCACCTGGGTTTTCACTTTCAAAATCTCAAATATTCACATGAAACATTCAGCATACAGAGGATCATGTCACTACTGATTTCTCATCATTAAAAAGGTGAGGTCGAAAAGCAAGACCATAATCGATTAATGTTTGCCCAAACTGATCCAAATTACAAAACTAAACATAAACATAATTACTGTAGCATTCCCTATTTTCAGGGTCAGTTCAACTCTACTTATATCATCTGATGAATCTTATCTCATAGAAAATGTCAATGGGGGCCATGTCAATGGTCTATCCCGGCGGGGCAACGGCGGCAACGGCGGCAACGGCTCCTGCGTTCATTGTACTTTCCGCAGTTCAAGTCTGTTCGAGTATCCTGTGCTGGCTGCAACCAACATCACGGCTGGTCATCATGGTCCAAGAGCCCAGTCTGTGTATTTTTTCGGTCGGCGGGAGTTTCCTTTTGAACACATCTTGTGCACATGGAAGTTTCCTAAGTCATCGGGGTACCCCCAGTTATCATCCACTCTTTTTTTTTGGGATTTTCCATGAAATAAAAATAAATAAACCATCCAGCTATTGGGGTCCCCCCCTTTTTTTGGAGACCTTCATATCATCAATATAGACCTTGAGAGACAACTTGCTGATCGATCCCTTGGGTCATCTTGGGTCCCTTCAGGCTTGGCACAGTGCCTTGTTGAAATACTTATTGAGGATGTGTATGGCTCGCTCGGCATATTTACACACCTGCCAAGGTTTCGACGCAGCTTCAGCTGGGGGTCAGCTGGGGCCATAGATCGAAGGTCAAAAATCACAGGCGATGATCAACGCATCAATGGGGGATGGTGACACACATCAGCATACTCATAGCTTGAGAATGGCAAATTTGTCGGAAGATATGTTGAAGATGTGTGGGAAAGACGGGCATTGTCACAGAATATGTTTTCGCATCCTGAGGTCCAGGCCTCTTCACAGTGCAGTCTGTATGCAAAGCATCACTGTCTATAGGTCCACTCCTCTTGTGATACTTCAAGAACATCAAATAGTGACCAAGGACAAAGCCAAGAAACTATAGACCATAGTCTATAGTATCCAAAACACCTAACTTATATGAACTTACATAAATCATCATAATTCTACGTAGGCTTTCACCTTCTTTTCTTCCCATGTTTCATCCGTCTCAACTGGGGTGTTTCACCCTACGGTTTCACCAGGGCACCTCCAGTTGGCAATTCTTGGCATGAAAGACCACATCATGGAACTTCTCTGCATCCATCAGGAGGATTTTGCCTTGAAGTGCGCAAGGCTATCTCCAAGATGTGCCAAGATCATCATGGTATTTTTGTTCAATTTTGTTCATATGTTCTCTATGGGATCCATATAAGCAACAAGATCCAACAAGGGTTGGTCAAAAACTCTGTAATTTACTGAACAGATGATGCTTATGTGCCCACATATCTGAAAACCAGTTCAAAAAAAAACAAGTTTTACTAGATAGGGGGGATCTCAATTCCAAAGGACGTACTTCATGTGGTGTGTTCTGTTCCAGGAACCACCTACCCGCAATCATCAATTGGAGAATGCGGTTCAAAAATCACCACGGATCTCGGGTATTTTGATATAATTTGAATTATGTCAAAGAGTCGAACAATGTCAAACAATACCCAGAAATTGTATGAAATTGTGGGGTCACCATCTACATTTCCATCTACATTTCCATCCGGGCGACAATCGGTGCGCGCTCGCATGGTTCCATTGTGGCTCCATGGAGCCCACAAGACCATCTCGGTGAAGAAAGCAGGTGCTGAGACCGGCGTTGGGGCGCCAATTTCCATGCTATAGGTCAAGTCACCCGAGAGGACCTCAGGGCAATCCAGGCAATCGCCAGCCTAGAGATGATCGGCAAAGATAAAAAAAGCCGAGCTGCAAAGAACATGGACTTCGCCGTCTCACCTACGCAGCGTTGTTGTTCAACTTTCTTTGAAGGGGGAAAAAAGGGGGACTGAAGGTGATTCCACTGGTTGTATAATCAGTTTCAGCTTTGACAGCTTTGAACAATCCTGAAGCAATCAAAGTTTCCGAAAAATCAATGAGAGACGTGCAAGGGTCATGGCAAGATCCAACCAAAGGATTGTGCATCTTATGTTCATATGGCAGATGGAGGTTGTAACTGGTAGGCTGTTCATCAGCTGACCTGGATCTGTTCATCCCAAATGGCGAAAATCTGATGGTTAAATCCCTTGACCAGCTCCAGCCAAGCACCTTTGGCAAAGAGGTAGTCCTCTCCAGACAGAGACATGGTCTTTAGAGCCTCGGTGAAACTGGTGGAGTGAAAGCGTGAAAAAACAGCATCACGCAATCACTGAAAAAACATCGACGAAAGCATGATGTCAGAAACAACATGCGGGACATTGATCAAGCCGTTCTGGTTTAGTCCGTCGGTTAGAAGGGTCTGATTTCCTATGATTTTCTCACTGTTCCGACTCCGGCTGTAAGCCATCGACCTTTAGTTGTTTGATGTTGTTTGGATAGCATGAATCTTCAGTTGATGGAACTTCGGATGGAAAATGATGGAAATTAAGATGGCAACCTTGCTGAGAAGACAGATGGTTGACTTAAAAAACAGCGCTGTTTGGGTGCTGAAAATGTCACTGGGATCCATGCCATTTTGCTTTGGTCGAAGGGATCACCACAGAGCAAGGTAGTTCAGAATGCTTACACCACAAATCGAATTGAATGGACATTGTGTGGGATGAACACGCATGAACTCGGCCAGGATGCCGTATGACAGAGTTTCATCACGGCCGGTTCATTCAGTCCTGAAGCAGCCATGGGAAGTGGACAACATTCACTGCCGCATCAAGGCCGCATCCATGAATAGTGAAGGCTGGCAATGGCTGGGATGCAGATGTTCACTGGCCCTCCAAGTTTTCCAAAACAACGATGCAGAACACCTTCCATGCGCAATGCTAGTATCGGGGCAGCCAAGCGACGACTGTAGGCGAAGAAGAGAGAGTGCTTGGTGAGGGTAGGACCTGAAAATTCTACGGTCCACTCCACTCTTTGTTGCCTTTGTTTGTGTATGTTTGTGTTAAATTCGAGAGGGAATCGTATTGGAACAATGAGCACGTACAAAGCCCATCTTCAAAGAACAGGAATCTTGCCGAAAAGAATGACTTTGAATGGTTTTGATACATGTTCTCACCATCTTTTTGAGTACCACAAGTATAGGCTGCTGCATATAGGACCTTCCACAAACGAAACAACGTCACTCTCCCCGGGTTGGGTGGTCCAGACTCCACATCTCAAAGTGCACTTCCATCTTCAGCGGTTCTGACCTGAGAGCTAAAGCGGGAAAATGGGTCTGCAAATGGGGTAATTATCAATAAATGACATATATGTATATATATATATAATATTACATATGTGATTATATATGTATATATTATATGAAATGTATGGCCATTCCAATCGAACATGAACATGATGAGGATCAACCCTCAGATTTTAGCAGATTGTTTTGCTGCCAATTTTCAAAGAAATCCAATTGCTGCGTGTGAAACCACTGTCCCATGGATCCATGTCCATGCTGCAGCCGCGCATCAATCTTTCCAACAAGATGATGTCCCCTTCCTGCACCCGGAGCAAAATGCAAAATGGTCAGTCGTTCAAAAGGCCGGGGTTCTTGGGATGTGGGGGTTCTTAAAATAAAGGTACCCCAGATCATCCATTTAGAGATGAAATTTCCCTTATAAACCATCCATTTTAGGTATCCCAATTTATGGTATTGAAACCAATGGTTCTGCGGTCTCCACATTTAGAGGAAACCTCCATGTCACTGCCCCAGTACCAGCCGCCTCGGGTCTTGATCTCTTCTCTTGCGTGCGTTGTTCCAAGTAGCGGCGTACACGCACGGTGAGGTAGAAGGAGAACTTCCTGCGATGTTTTTTTTTTAACCACATGGTGATGTTGCTTTCGAAAGATCTTCAAGTGCATTAGTGAATAGACGTATATATATAATTAATATAATATATATATAATTAATATAATATATATATATTATATAATATATATAATATATGTATCCCACTACTTCCAAGAACAAAGTTAAACGTTGTCGTCCAAGTAAAACCATGACTTTACTTAAAGACACTCATTGACTGCTGATATATATATATAGTCAAAAAAGGGTGACCTTCCCCCTGAGCCTAATCGAATCCGTAAATCAATCCTCAAAATTCTGAATAAAAATATGTGGTTTCCATGCTCAAGTTTTTGATTGGTTTTCACGGGTTTTTCACTGTCTTTTCACGGGTTTTTCACGGTCGTTTCACGCACTTTTCACGCTCTTGGTTTGGAGTGGGATTTGTTTGAAACTCTGGAGTCCGGTATATATTTATACTAGTACTCATTGGGTCTGATAATGCCCAGTAAACACATGTCGCTTCCAAAGACAAAGTTAAACTTTGTCGTTGTGAAAGCCCCAGTTAAACTTTGTCGAAGACTGAGTGGGTATACTATATACATATACAATATATATATATATATATTATATATATATATTATATAATATATACACATATATATATATGTACTGGTATGTTCAACATCCACCTGAGAGGATGACGCGTTGTCTGCACTCTGCTGGCCATTGAACTTTCCTATCTTTGTGGAGACCCTTCAACAGCACGGGTCATGTCATGTCAAATCACTATACTATATATATATATATATCTATATATGTAAAAGAACGAAAACATGAAATCTGTTCGAACTTCACGTTATTCTCTTTCTATTGTTATTGGAAAATATTGGAAATATCTATCAACACGATGGAAAAAACATGCGACATGTGCAACTTCCATCAACTTCCAAGGTTGTCAACTGTCCAACGGAGAAGCATGGACAAGGGACCGGCTCTGCATGAAATCTTCAAGTTTCGAGAACATGATGGCTTCGGCGCTTTCCTGGGCACTTGATGGACATGGCCATGGATGCTATGGCAGCTATGGGTCACACCGTTTGGTCACCTGTTGGGAATGCGATGCGGAGGATTTCAAGGTTTGGACCTGTTTATATAGACAATTGGGAATCTCTAGGACTCCAGCAGTCTTCTTTCAACTTTACACGATATGTTCCCAGCATATTGGCACATATTGAAGGCAGCCAAGGGGCCAAATTTCGCAGATGCGTCATCAAATTGGTGATGCTGGACCTCGGATCGCATCATGGAATCCATGTCCCATTCCCACGCCTTCTGGATGATTTAAGGATCCCGTTCAGCTGAACCATTCAGAAGCAACAGAAAACATATAAAATTTATGTGTCAAACGGAAAAAAAAATGATGTTTTAACCAATTCATATATATATATATATACGTATGTATATTATATTTAACCTATAATATATATATATATATATATTTGCCTTTAACCATGTTTAATCTACATGTAATATATTTGTACCAGAATTTTGGGGCTCGGCGACGGGGTCGCAAAGAATCTGCACCAACTTTGGGATCCGCCAAGGCAATGTCTACAACATGGGAGCACGAGCATGGAGTTTTAAGCAGTTCTTTTGATGTGAAACCCAGAAAAAAAAAATGAGATCAAGTTATGCCATTCACCTTCACCTATTTTGGCCTTTTGACACATGTTCATCAAACTCTAGACACCTATTCATCGCCCCAAATCCCCAGCTGTTCATTTCCAGTTGTTCTTCCTAAAAATTCACTGGCGCTTCCCCAGCCACTAGGACTTGGATCATCATGTCCACATGCTTGCTGCAGCTTCATCCTTTTGATCATCTAGTGGAGTTTTAGATCTCATCAATTCCGGAACAACAACATCAAAAACTCCGCTAAAATCCAGGTTATTCCTGTTCAACCTTATCAATTCCCTTTATTCCAAAAAAAACAGGAAATACTTTACTTCGTGTGATCCCCACCATGACATTTATACATTTTCTTACTGGCAAATCTTCTGGCATTCTATCTGACATATCTTCTGGCATTCTATCTGGCATATCTTCTGGCATTCTATCTGACATATCTTCTGGCATATCTTCTGGCATTCTATCTGGCAAATCTGATGCATTCTATCTGGCATATCTTCTGGCATATCTTCTGGCATTCTATCTGACATATCTTCTGGCATTCTATCTGGCATTCTATCTGGCATATCTTCTGGCATATGTTCTGGCATATCTTCTGGCATATCTTCTGGCATTCTATCTGGCAAATCTTCTGGCATCCTATCTGGCATATCTTCTGGCATTCTGTCTGACATTCTATCTGGCATATCTTCTGACATTTTTTCTGGCATTCTATCTGGCATATCTTCTGGCATATCTTCTGGCATTCTATCTGGCAAATCTTCTGGCATTCTATCTGGCATATCTTCTGGCATTCTATCTGACATATCTTCTGGCATATCTTCTGGCATTCTATCTGGCAAATCTGATGCATTCTATCTGGCATATCTTCTGGCATTCTATCTGACATATCTTCGGGCATTCTATCTGGCATTCTATCTGGCATTCTATCTGGCATATCTTCTGGCATATATTCTGACATATCTTCTGGCATTCTATCTGGCATTCTATCTGGCATATCTTCTGGCATTTTCTTGTGGCATTCTATCTGGCATATCTTCTGGCATTCTATCTGACATATCTTCTGGCATTCTATCTGGCAAATCTGATGCATTCTATCTGGCATATCTTCTGGCATTCTATCTGACATATCTTCTGGCATTCTATCCGGCATTCTATCTGGCAAATCTTCTGGCATTCTATCTGGCATATCTTCTGGCATTCTATCTGACATATCTTCTGGCATATATTCTGGCATATCTGCTGGCATTCTATCTGGCATTCTATCTGGCATATCTTCTGGCATATGTTCTGGCATATATTCTGACATATCTCTGGCATTCTATCTGGCATTCTATCTGGCAAATCTTCTGGCATTCTGTCTGGCATATCTTCTGGCATTCTATCTGAGATATCTTCTGGCATATCTTCTGGCATATCTTCTGGCATTCTATCTGGCAAATCTGATGCATTCTATCTGGCATATCTTCTGGCATTCTATCTGACATATCTTCTGGCATTCTATCTGGCATATCTTCTGGCATATATTCTGACATATCTTCTGGCATTCTATCTGGCATTCTATCTGGCATATCTTCTGGCATTCTATCTGGCATATCTTCTGGCATATCTTCTGACATTCTTTCTGGCATATCTTCTGACATTCTGTCTGGCATATCTTCTGACATTCTATCTGACTTATCTTCTGGCATTCTATCTGGCATTCTATCTGGCATATCTTCTGGCATATGATCTGGCATATCTTCTGGCGTATCTTCTGGCAATCTATCTGGCATATCTTCCGGCATTCTATCTGACATTCTATCTGGCATATCTTCTGACATTCTATCTTACATATCTTCTGACATTCTTTCTGGCATATCTTCTGACATTCTATCTGACATATCTTCTGACATTCTCTCTGGCATATCTTCTGACATTCTGTCTGGCATATCTTCTGACATTCTTTCTGACATTCTTTCTGGCATTCTATCTGGCATATCTTCTGACATTCTGTCTGGCATATCTTCTGACATTCTTTCTGACATTCTTTCTGGCATTCTATCTGGCATATCTTCTGACATTCTATCTGACATCTTTTCTGACATTCTTCCCGTTGAGGTCCGGCAGTGCCCACTGCGATCTGCAACTCGCGGTTGAGGTCCGGCAGTGCCCACTGGGATCTGGAGCTCGCGGTGCAGGTCCGGCTGTGCCCACTGGGATCTGGACTGCGAGGAGGAGGCGGCGGGTGAGGAGGCGGAGGAGGCAGAGGAGGCGGAGGAGGCGGAGGAGGAGGAGAAGAGCTCTGTTAAAATCTAGCAACCCTCACCTGGCAGGTGGGGAAAAAAGACATCGAAACCCCAATTCCAGGTTATTCCAGGTTGCAAAAAATCAATGCCCTTCAAAAAATGGAAAAAAAAAAACACGGCAATCCCAGCCACACAAAAGAGGAGAAGGTCACCAGAGCGAAAATGACGACCGCCACGTTAAAGGCTCGTTCCTCAAGGGTGGTCGGTTGCACCTCAGGTGCAGGTGCCACAGCAGCGAATTCTTTTTTGGATTTACCACAGGAAAACGAACCATAAAATATGATGGATTTCTGTTGGGATATATTACATAATAATATAGAGATATACAGTATATATCATTATATATCTAATATATTCTAATATAACATACAGTGTATATTTGGGAGAGTTGAGTATTTTTTTCGACATGCTGTACCTGGTGTTAAGTCTTTCGAAGACGACTGATTCTTGGCGGCTTGGGGACTGCCAACTGTGCACATGGCCTGGTCCCAACCTAGCAATCAACTATGGTCAACCACGACCAACAAGACACAATAAACAAGGATGCGGATGGATGCGGATGGATCTGGAGTCTGGAGCATTTGAGAGGCAACTGCACATCATTCATAATATTATGATATATATATATATATATACACTATGTAACTCTGTTGTGGCTAGGGTTACTTCATCATTGTCAAAATTGTTGACAATTGTTGATAACCTCTATGGTAGGTTTCTTGTTGTATTACTTTGCGGGTCGGATGTTTTGAAGCCAAAAAAAAACCTGCCATCTTGACAAATCTCCAGTAGCATGTGGATATGTCAAGGATTTTCACATCTGACTGCGTCAAAATCTTCAAACCCAGCGACCGTCATGCTCGCGGGAGTGAACTGAGTCAGGCTCCAGTGCAGGGTGATGAGGTATGTATACCTCACTTTTTTTGGTCACCGCAAACAATGTGAAAGTCATTTTTTCTTTTTGGGGGTAGCCCAAAAAGACTCTGGAAACTTCCAACACTTATTCCAGCACACCATGCGATTCAGAAATCCTGGAAAATATAATCCGTCCATGAGGATCATCATGGGTAAAACATGGTAAAACACACAAAAAGAGAAAGGGAACCATGGGAACCAGGTGTCAATCAGCACAATTCTGAGGGTCTCATCTCACTTTGACCTAGAGGGGATGGCTGTGAAATCCAATATCTCCGAGGTTTAGATTCGCATCAGATTCAGGCTAGGCTTAGATTCAGATTGAGATCAGGTTCAAGGTTCTGATTCAGATTTGGGTAAGATAGAATTGGACATGTATGTAATCGAGTGGAATTGGATAACAAAATAACATGCATGTTGAGATGGATTACAGTAAATCTAAATCGAATTAGATTAGATTCAGTTAGATGCAGGAAAGACATAGATAAAGATGTGCAGAGAGACACACACACATATATATATAAGATGTCTCTGTACGTGGTCCCACACTTGCCAATCTTACAACCCAAGGTGCCACCAGTCATTAGTGGGAATCTCGTAGGTCGTGAGCCAGCCGTTGTTTTGCCCCAGCCTTGGGCGGTACAAAGTGAACTCAGTTTAAATGTTGAAGCAGCAGTGTGTATCGAATGGCATTATGGCAGCGACGTTTGAAGACCTATTGAGAAAATGGGAGTCCAAAACCTTTACAACTATTATTATGATTTCTCCGAAATCTTCTTCAGAAAAGTCCATCAGCACTGGGACATCGATTTGGAGATCTGCTTCCTGAAAACTTCATCCCCTGCAGAAAGGTTCAGCAGAGTCAACCACCTCCCCAAGTTTTGAGGCTTTCCACAGTGACAGGTGTGGATTTTCCCCCCCGACATCAGTGGCCAGAAAACTTCAGTAGCCATGGGCGCTACGAAAGCCAAGTGGCAAATACCAAACTGACGCGATGGTGTGATTTATGAAGAGAATGCCCAGCAATTGTCTCAACTGAGCCCAGCGTTCGGAACGAGGGAAAGACTCGGGGAAGACTGGAAGACGGTTCCAGACCCGAACGAGGCACCTTCAACTGGCGATTGGTAGATGGTACCCTCTGGTAATTTAACATAGCTATGGAAAATCACCATTTTCAATGGGAAAATCCACTATAAATGGTCATTTTCAATAGCTATGTTAAATTACCAGAGGGTAATTTCTGGGATGAACTGGGAGAGAACTGCCAATTTGGAAGCCGATGACACTGCTATTGTCCCAGGACATCTCTTGGGCTGCACCAAGTGGAGCAACTCCACATCAGGGAGCTTATGGAGATCATTACCATAGTATCCACAGTTATACCATGTTATACTGTTATACCCATTGTTATATTGTTATAACCATGTTATACTGTTTTCCACAGTTATACTGTTATCCACAGTTATACCATGAACCCCCAAGTATCTAAGTCATTCTAAGTCCTTGTAATTCTATTTCCAAATATTTCCAGCACTCCTGTTCACATCCATCTGCCAACGCTTTGCAACAAGCGGCAATCCCCAGACTCAGCGTGATGTATTCAGATCGGCTGATGAAAGGAAGCGATTTCCTTGAACAAAAAGATGCTGCTGTGGAGTGCTTATCTTTGGGGTAGGAATTTGCTGTCTATATGATCATTGGGCGCTCAAAACTTGGAACCTGGCAAAGCCGAAGCTGATCATTTGTCGTATTTAATTGTTGAGGCCAATAATTGTCAGTTACACCCATGTGGCCAGATTTCTGATATTTCTGGTTGGATATGTATTGCTTGCTGGTCGCTATTCCCACCATTCTGTAGACTGTCTGGGTCACCTCCTTTCATCATTTATTTCCTGACGAATTTGTGGAGAGGGCGAATCATTGAGATGTAGCAACCTCCCAGTTTGATCGCAGAATTGGACACCTGGATTTTTTTGCGCGAAACATCATCTATAACATCCTGGAGACAAGTTTCTATCCCGAGTCGTGACACAACAAACATGCAAGACTGCAAGACCACATTGTTTCTACAGCCGTTGTGAGGTTCTAGCACACTTTCACCGATGGGCCTCTTGTCTGTTTTCTATCCATCCATTGATTCATCAATTGATCCATCTAACAGTATCCATGCGTATATTTCATCATGATATCATGCCTATATAATTATTTAATTATACAATATTATACAATACATACGGATTTGTTTGAAAATAGGATATTCCCTCTTAAAAGATCTGAAAAGTAGCAGTTGGGGTTATATTAACCACTTTCAGACTATAAAAATCTGCTTCACCGCCGTTGATGTAACTTGGCCGTCGCCCAGTGAGCCCAGTGGCACAAACGAGGGCAACTTGGCCGCGCGTAACAGCTTCGCGGACCTGGCATGGATCCGAAATGGATGGTGGTGCAATGACCATCTTGAAAAATATTAGTCAATGGGAAGGATTGTCCCATATATGAAATGGAAAAATGCTAAAATGTATAAAAATGTTCCAAACCACCGACCAGGTAATCAATTGTAGGTATTCATCAGCTGGAATATGGTTGGTGAATGTTTCCAGAAACTCTTCGGCGTTCTTGCTTGGTTGACTAATACTCCAATCTGTGGGTCACTAAATTGACCAACTCAAACATTGGAGTATCAATAAACCAAACATGCAGTTGTTGGCAATATGCAAGCCGACAAAATATGTTAAACAAACAACACTGGAGATATTTACCAACCAACGATTTGGATATTAACGAGGAAAATTGGGATATTGAACGAGCAAAACTAAAACTAGAATATAACATGTTGAAAATTGAACCAAATCGAACCAACAAATTGAAAATGGGTCCTTAAAACAGCTATCATGTTCATGATGTTCGTGGGGTACACCGTATAGACCACTAAAATCAGTGGGGCCATGCCGGTCTCACCGAAATCGGATGGTTCGTATCGTTTCGGGGTCTCCTCCGGTAACGTGGCAATCGAAAGTCCTCCTATATGCATCCCGCTATAAACCTCGATATTTATGATATTTATATGGAATTAACCTCAATATTTATATGTTATATTATTGGATGTTATTGGTATTTCTGATGTTCTTGATATTTCCCGTTGCTGTGTTTGATTACCGGAGACGACTCAGAAATGATCATCCGTCTGGGCGACCAGACTTAATGGGATGACCCACCAGGGAAACTCCAAGATGACAATGCAACACACGATGCGGATACATTTGACGTGTGTAATTAACATTATCGCAGTTATAGTTATATAATAACCCTTAAGTGTAATTCAGAAGATATCAGAACATATCAGAAGATATCAGAAGATATAGAACATCATCTATTTAAACTTGCAAAAACCAGAAAGGTTTTAGCTGAAACAGCCCTTTGGGGGTCCCCGGCTCAAACCTCAAGAATCGCAGGATGCGCAAGGATCGGCTGGCGCGGATCAGTGAGGGCAGGGATGGCATCTCTGAAATGATGGCATCGGTCCACTCGAACCTGGTTTCCAGTCGTGGGATTCACCCTGCATCACCATGATTCACCATGTATGGTAGAAACCATCCCCGTTTATAGTTTAGGTTTCGTGATGTAAGCATTGTTGGGATCACTTTAATGTTTCTGCGTCATCATCTGTGTATACATATATGTCGGTGTATGTTGTTGTGATGATTACACATGTATGACACACACACAGAGTTCTGACGCACGCACAATTATATATGATGATAAATTACATAAATATTGACAGGCCGAAGTATCTTCATGATATCACATCTTCACCTATTTTTTTCTACCCCATTTTCCATCATTTTCCTCATGAGGAACGTATCCTACGTATCCTGCCCAGGGGACATGAGCAAAATCAGATCCGCCATCATCCAGGTCTTCACGTAGTTCAAGGCCGTCTTATGTGGTCGGAGTTCCTGACACTTTTGGAGGTCGTGGTGATGGTGCCATAAAGTCACGATGTGATAATGAATCATATAAAAATGATGATAAGTATAAATAAATGTAATAATCATAAGAATTTAATGTACAATACATCGTGTATTATCATTAATCATCAATGAAAGCAGTACTTATCTCATTGTGCCACCACCTTGACCAAGGTATACCAAGGTTCCAAAGATCCAGAGACGTAGTAACCCACGAAGAAGGCCACGATAAAATCAATGGTCCAAAAGGTGGCCGAGAACACGGTCATGGGAAACCTCACCGAAAGTGACACGGGGATGTGAAAAAAACATCATCGCTGCCTTGAGCGTTGAGAGAGCCTGGTACATGGCACTGTCAACAGCTCCGAGTTCCGAATGTTTAACATGACTAGATATGACTAGTAATCTAAGATGTCTAAACCTCGTGTGGAAAAACTCAATATACAGAATTCGAATAGGATAGAATAGGTATGGAGAAAAGCGGACAAGAAGCACCCAAACTCCGATCTTCTGATCCGGCCGCCAAGGTGCTCAAAACTCGAAGTGTCCAGCTCGAAGACTGAGAGGGGAACCATGACCATGTCCTTTGAAGGCGAAATGGGTGCGGTCGACAGCTTCAAAGGCCAAAACCAGCACAGATCTTGGGTTCCTTTTGTGATTTGACTACATGTCTTGAGATGACGTTGCTTCTCCATGCTTCTCCAACAAACGCAAGCCTCAAACTCAAACTATCAGAATGTTCATTGACAAAATGGGGGATCTTCCAATTCTCAGTCCTGGCGCCTTTTGGTCGTGCTGGCATGGAAGGCCACTGCCCAAATGTTTCTTGGACCCAATATGACCCAGTGTATAATATAGCAGCAAAAAATGTCATGCAGCATGTAAATATTTTTGGTTGATTAGCTGCGTGGCTAGTCACCGTGACTGCACCTTTGTGAGTATTGCGGCAGTTTTCTGGATAATTTGGGGACCGTTGTTGGGCCCATTGCTTCTGATATGTTCCCAGGCCCTTCTTTTGTCGAAGGACATAGGCAATAAGGAGCAACGAGAAGACCAACCAGAACCTGCAGCCAAGGAACAGGACTGGTCGGGAACAAAAACATCAAGCATACCCTCTGGTAATCAACCATGGCAATGGAAAATCTTATTACCCTCTGGTGAACTAACATAGCAATGGAAAATGGCCATAGAAATAGTGGATTGATTTTCCATAGCTTTTTGTATGTTCACCAGAGGGTAATAAATATTAATAATATATCATATAATAGTAACTAAATAAACGGTGGTTCCAAGAGGAACAACATAGATGGTGGATTTTCCATTGTCACGGTTGATTACCAGAGGATAAACATCGCTTAAACATTTGTACCAGTCCCTCCTTTCTGTCAAGCCAATGCTAGAGATTTTTCATCTCCACCAGAGGATTTTGCAAAGTGGCTCCAGGATTACCCTCTGGTAAACTAACATAACTATGGAACATCACCATTTTTAATGGGAAAATCCACTATAACTGGTCATTTTCAATAGCTATGTTAGTTTACCAGAGGGTATATGCTAGATTCGGCCCAGGAACAATCTGCGTTTTCCATCTGGAGGCAAGACCATAGCCTGCGTCCATTGGATCACCAGAAATATCCAATGGCGCTGAACGTCTGACCAACTTTCTGCTGCTGTAAGCTTCAACGAAGCGTCTGACCGTGACATGGCAGGATTATTTATATAATCAAGGTCCAAACAACAAGTGGTGTTTCCCAAGATTTATGTTAACGTTTTTTCCATGCACAGAGATTTCCAAAGATTTCCAGTTGCCAGGTTTGATTACGCAAGAGTACCTATGCAAATCCGACGTCTTGGTGTCTTGGTGTTTGAGATCCCAGCCTGAAGGATCTTGACCGTTTTCACATCGGATTTCAACATGTTCCTCCCATCCTTCAAAGACAACCTGCGCAACGGCTGCAGCACCCAAAAGCCGGCTAGCAATAAATGCCCAACGCTTGCAGTAGGAATAGAATTTGTTTCACACAATTTTTGTTGGTCTTCATATCCCATAGGATCCATGTATGGTATATATACTAACATTGGGGGTATATTGATGGTAAATGTTACCATATATAGCAGCACCATGGATCCTATGGGTATCCCGCCAATGATTGCCAGAATATCATTTGGTATTGGGATGCATGGTGATTTTGTTGGTTCCAAGTTCCATTTGTAGGTTCTCAAACGTGTAAACTGACCCACCTAGCCATCTTCAGGATGTCTTGGATCGTTTACCCCGCTACGCATCGCTACGCCAAATCACAGCTGCAACCCACCTGCTCTTCTGCGCAGAGTAGCTGTGCATGGATGCTCTCCTCTCCTGAAATTGCTAAAATTTGGGGCTGCAAGTCATATTCTAAAGATGGCAAATACTGCTAGACATTCTCAAAATCATGACAATCATGAACCACTGCACCAATATGCACCAATTATATATAGCCATTGGCCAAATCATGAGGCTTCCCTATGAGCAAAATATGCATGATCATTTCCGTCATGATGTTCCCACATATTCCAACCCTATAGTGACTATAGTGTCATCTGTCCTCGACAGTTGCTGCAAAGAAGAGCTCTGGCCTCGAAAAAAAATCAGGTCTGAGGGACCTGCAACAAGAATATTTCTCGCAGCTTCTGAGGCTTCAAGTTATGTTCGAAACTATGCGCTGGAATGTGGTTTTTTCCTACAATTTTCAGACATATAAGATCATATGGGGAGAAATACAACATCAGTAGGGTCCACAAGCCAAATCAACTCCTCGTCCTACTTTGCTCCAGTTCGGGTGTTACTTCACGATGTCTTCCGGTGATGACTGATTACCAATTCACAGTATAGTTTAGTGGGTGAGACTTGTCACTTCCCTAGTATGAAGTAACGACACTCATTACATCAATGGCAAATTATATTGCTGCATGTGCGCAGGGGCCCAGACATACAGTAAGTTCCTTTAGAACCAGTAAGCATAGTAAGCTACAAAAGCGGGGTTAATTCCAAACAAAAAATAATAAAAAAAATATCCCAGTCAGGCAGCTTGTGTCCCTACAAAAGTATAGTTATGGTTTTTAGATGTTTTTAGCCTATTGTTTTTTATTTTGTTGTTCGGGGGGAAGCCCTAAATTTCCATCATGATTGGTGGAAAGCCTTGTGGAGGTAACTGTTGATATCTTTCGTAGTGAAACCAAAGTGTTTTTCCTGGATGGTCCTGGAACACTGGTTACTTTTGTAGAGAACCTGGGTGTTATTTTTTTCTCAGTTTATGCTGCCATTCCCCCCAGGCATTCCCAAGCTTGATGGTTTGTTTGCACAAATGTTCACGTCTCATCATGTCTCTGCATGGTTAGGCCATGCACCTAGACGTCCTTCCTTCTGTCTACAACTGATAAGAATGTAAACATGTCTTGGGATACTATTTTTTTCTGATCTCTGCTAAACCCAAAATGGACTTTGTAAAGCAAACGATCTCTCCTTTCTCCCCTCCCCGGGGGGTTGAACATAGGCCTGGCAGTACTACAAACCTGTTTAAAGCTACATTTTTTGGGGGCTGGTTTCTAGGAGGCCAACTTCAGGATTCATACAATTTGAACTTTTTATGGCACCAGACAGAAATGTCTACAAAACTATCGATGTACAACAAAAAGCGAGTACACACCAAGGTGATCCTTACAGAACAGGGCCTTACAAAACGTTTTGTAGGATCACATCTTGGGTTTTGCAAGAGAAATGGTATCCCGGTATCCCTGAATGAAACCGTCGTTTTTTCACATCGCGCCCTCCCACCTGACTTCCAAGTGGCCAAAACTCCCAGGGTTCGATGCCAATCTCCGGAACGGCGCCCACATTCTCCGGTGCCGAAATAGCGCGGGGCCCAGGGCTGATGGGCTGCGTATTGGCACGGCCGCCGTTGCGTTGCGACTCGGCCTTGGAGTCTGAAACTCCCAAGCGGTTCAGTTTTGCAAGTTCTGTGGATGGTGTTTGATGGTCTAACATTGCACTTTGATCACTTTGGAAGGGCACAGAAAAAATGATCCAGCTGAGCCCTGAAGAAATCCCCCCTATCCCATCCCTTTTTTGGCTGGTGAGTTAGTGAAATATATTCCTAATTTTGGGTTACCACAATCCTCAACAAGTCAGTTAATAAAAGGTACCCTAGGCTAAACTCACATCGATATTTGGAAAACATTAGTTTAAAGCATTGGTTTTGTCATTTTGTTTCCCGTTCTTTTCCACATCCATTAGTTTACCCCAGGGTATAACCACCCTTTAACCCAGTAGTTACCCATCACCACCACGGCACCGTTTTCGCCCGCGCCGCCGCACTGGCGTGCACGGAGCGTGAGCTGCGCAGGGGTTCGGAGACCAGGGAGGACCTGGGAACCATGGCCATGGGGTGATGGCTCGAAGGGTTGATTTACCAGAGGCTTTTTGAACGAAATCAGATATCGATTTGTTTAGAGTTTTCATATGTTTTCATGATGGGATTGGGATTGGGTGATCCCATTTCGGAAAGTCACCATAGATTGGTTTAAACATCTGTTGTTTCAATACGAGTCGTCATGGCCATCCTTTTTCCGACTGGATGATGCAAGGGGGTACCCCCATAACTTCGGAAACGTCCGTATGTGACAAACAAAAATTGTGAGATTTCTTGGGGAGTCGAACGTCGAACCCAACCCAACCCAACCGTTGCCTCCCCTTGGGAATGATCTCTGACTTCCTGTGGCAGGTGGAGCTTGCTGAGTTTTTTGCATCATGTCAACATGACATGTCATTCCATATTAAATAATTTGGATGAACATCATTGTCCAAAGTGAATGAACATTAATATCATTTAATACCATTCAATATCCATATCATTCCAAAACTATTCATATCAACATATATCAACTATCACGTGCCATCATTGTCAATGTCACATCCATCTTCCATATTAATCAAGGCAATTGATATTCATCCCATCAGCTCTGGGTAAACTATACAATAATTCACTACAGTAACATGCAATAACCTGAAATCAGGCCATCTTGGGATACTTCCACTTACTAGCCATCATTCCAGGCTTCGGTCACGACGTGAGAACACTCCAAAAAACATAATTTATTCAGATCAATTATGCCATAATTATGATATCCAAGTAGCATCACTATCATTCATCCAGATGAAATCATGATCTCCAAGTGCCATCAATCAGTAAATTGGAAATAATTGGAAATAACCCAATCAAATCACGATATCCAAGTAATCAAGTACCATCAAGTACCCCACAAATTATATGATATCCAAGCAATCAAGTACCATCAAGTACCCCACAAATTATGACATCCAAGTACCATCAATTAGGATCATTCTCCATCTCAAAGGGGAAACAAAAATCGCTGTCACCGGCCTGGCCCGGAAGGTGTCGTTTGACATCGACCTGGGGAACTCCAGAAATCACCATGGTTTTCTTTTTTCCGCCAGAAATCATGGAACAAAACCTACAGATGAAATGATTCTTTGGGGAACACATTGTTTATATCTGTTTATTTTTTGGTTCTTAGGGTTTCCAGCTAGTGTTTAGTTGCAATACAGTTGAAATACAAGTGCTACAGTTGTTTGCAATCACTTACTATTATAGTGATTGTGCTTGATACGAGTCATTGTCAATGTTAACGAGTGGTTTGCGATTGGAGGTTGCGGTAATGTTGCTTTTGTTGATAGTCAAGAATGAAGGGTTAGTGGACTACTACAGGTGGTTGGCAATTGTTTATGGTCCATTTGTAGTTAGTGAGTTGTTAGTGTGGGTCGGGGACAGTGTAGCATTTCTCATCCTGTACCTAGAATAATTAGTTCTGAAAGATAGGGGTGGCGCCTGTTTGATCAAGACGTGGGACGTTGGCACATGTTGGCACATCCATGAGTGGTTTAGAATCCCCTACAACTGACATCAACTAACTGGGAATAGCCGGAATGTTTTGCGATGGTCGCCTCATCTGGGGAAATCCGTCATTGTTTAACTTGGGCAAACCTATAGAAATACATAGCCCTCAAAACCTGGGAACAATTTCGAAATACACTCCTGGGTCGAATTCGAGTCGAACTTGCCAAATGCCTATTGCCACTATTGCCCTTCTCGCCCTTCACAACAAGTATAAAAGTTAAGTCTTAGACGAAAGCCATGTGCGCACCAAGATAGAACAGATACGACATGGAATTGTCCCATTTTCAATAATCATCCGAAAAGCGAGATCTGCGGATCTTCGGATCTTGGGTTTGTCTGACAAGAGGCTCCCAAAAAAAAGTTAGATCAATTCAGGAGGTATAATGTGGTAGACCCCAATAAACCTTTCCAAGAATCATCCATTGGGGGTTCGTGTGACGTCATCCCAAATAAAATAGCGATGTAGCAAATAATATAGAAACATATATAACCTATATTCTAATTGGTGGTTTCAAGTTTCAACCCCCGTGAAACATATGAGTTCGTCAGATTGGATCATCATCCCAACTATTGGGGAATTTTTGACATTCATAAATTCATGTTCCAAACCACCAGATATTTATATAATCATATAGTTAAACATTATAAAACACCAGATATTTATATAATCATGGTTAAAACACCATCCCCAATTTCGGTTTTATAAACCATAGTTAAACCACCAGAAATTGGGGATGGTTTGTACCCAAATTTCAGCCCTTTAAGCCACCCTGACCACCAGGATTTTTGGCTTCGCCCCTGACCTCCAGCCTTCATTCGGAGATCGCGGCCTGGTTCTTCTTCAAAAACCACCGAAAAAAAACACCACAACTATATACACCTTCATGAAAAAAATGGTGCAAAGATATTCTGTATTAATATATATATATATATATTGGTTTCCGAATATATGGGGAATATATATATATATATATATATTCTCAGTTATCATCCATTTGACAGATGGATTTTCCATGTAAACCCTCCATTCTATGCCCATTCTATGCCCGGAAAATGCCCGGAAGGCCTGGTGACTCGTGCAACCTGGCGGTCCCAATGACTTGGATGGAAACAGTTGGATGACCATGGTTTAATGAGTTGAATGATCATGGTTAATGGTTAATGAATGTTAATGGTTAATGAATGGCTAATGGTTAATGATATATAATGATATCATGTCCCAAATTCCCAAATAACAATTGATTAGTCATGGTTCATGAGCATGTTTTCCCATTAAACGATCATATCATGATCATTTCGGGGGCAGAGGGCGGGAATTTTTGCGTCCACCAAGGGTGAAGAACGAGACATCTGATGATGAAAACAAATAACTCATGGAAGCCACAAGCTACCACTCATGTAAAAATGTAGAGCAAATTTGCATACCAAAATGCTTTGAAACTGTTGCAAGTACTGAACATCTTGAGGTCTGTGTAAAGCCTCCAGTCAGTTTCAAATAGTAGTTGCCGGATCAATTCGGGCCGTATCCTCCACCTGCAAGAATTGCCGTGCACCTAAGCCTAGTGCACCTTTTAGGAGAACACTCTGGAAGAACAGTTACCATGGGTTTTTGAGGAACTTCGGTCATCCTATAGTGGGAATCCTTATCAAATGGATGTATAATGGACATAGTAGTGATCATTAACTGGTTGGTGGTTTCAACCCCTCTGAAAAATATTAGTCAATGGGAAGGATTATCCCATATATTATGGAAAATAAAAAATGTTCCAAACCACCAACAAGTTAATAATTAACATGTCCAATGTTACATCCATTATTCTAATGGGTGTATAATGTATAATAAATCATGATAAACCCCGGATTGATGACCATCCGCCAATATGGCGGAAGCGATCCTCTTGTGTTGTCGCTGATGCCCACCTCTTCAGAATCCTCGTCCCCAGCTAGAAATGGCATCACCTTCCATGGGCGGGCCCCACGTTGGATTGCGACATCAAAAAAGTTGGTATGATCCAATATGATTGGGAAAAAATGACACCAAATAACAAAAAAGTTGCGACACCAAATAACTTTTGTCAATAAAATGACACAAAAGCCCACGTTGGGCCCCACGTTGGTTGCGACATCATAAGTAAGCATCAACCATCGATTTGGGCTTTCATCACGTGGTTTCATTCACTGTATACAGGCGCACGTTTAGGCTCAAGCTCGCCCGTTTAGGGAGCACTGGATGCAAGACATGTCACAACTCTGTGGTCCATCCATACCCATCACAAAATGTGTTAATCATTGGGGATCATGATCCCAAACACTTCTAATATAGTTGAAACATGTTTGTCACCAAACAATGACACATACTTAGAATCACAAACCAGATTTGCTTCCACAATATCAACCTAACGGTGAGTTTCTCCATCTACAGTATGCCCCCCAACAGTATTCCAGGATCATGTCATCGCCTTCAAAGAGACCCGTTTCACCACAGGCACCACAGCCAGCTCCTGGACATGGAGAAAAACACCGTTCCAGTTGGGGACCAACGGTGACCAGAGATTTCCAGAGAATGGATAGAAAAAATGCCTAAAATGGTTGAAACCGCATGAAACCACTGATCCTCAAAGCTGGTTTTGAAGATATTTGCAGCCGCTCCGGATACTGATTGGGATACAGATTGACCAATGCATGATAGACTATCTCTCATCAGCTCAGGTACAGAATATAAGAATATCCTCCAAAAGTAATCCCATCCCCCTAATTCCATTTTTTTTCAACATTTAACTGGGTCCAAGTAGGATACATGCAACACTTCACATACTAAACCAGCAACTCGACCATCCCTCGCGGTCTGGAGCTTAGAGATATCCCAGCGAGGGAGAAAAAGAAATGACACATCCTGGCTGGTTAATAGGATTCACCCAGCATGGATTATGATTAATAGGATTTTATAGGCTCGATATCGTTGAATCGGATTATGATCATATATGATCATGATTCATGGATTATATGATTATACATCCAGCTGTTTTTTTCGAACGGATTTCCCAGTTTCATGGATTATGATAATCCGAAAAGAAACATGATGGGCAGGATTTAATCCCATATAATCATCAACCAAGAGTGGTTTTGAACACTACTCAATTGATGTTCATCATCCCAACTTAGCAACATATCAAGCATATAGTCCAAGGAAACCCCAGAATCATTGGTGAAACAAACATCTCTCCAAATTCCCCAGGTGTCTTGGTTCTAGTACCCCACGGGCCCTTCCCACGTGCTCGTTGAACCGGTTGAACCCCCCGATGTTTGCTGGACGGAATCCGGAGTCCTGCGTATCGTTTTGAATCTCCTGCAGTGACAGCGAAGATTGGTCATGAAGATTTGGAACACAAGACATGAACGGTTGGAAGTTTCAACCCAATTCAGTAGAAAGTTGGGGGTTCAAAAAATTATACGATCTATATGTATATTTTTGAAAAAAAAAGACCACCATTCAGAAACTATATGGGCCACGGTCAATATTTGGTATATAGCTCCAAAACATAAATTTTTGAAGAGTGTATTATCCTTTCTTAGGTTTTGGTATATAAGCAAATGTTCTCGTTTTTTGAAGAGTCTAATTATTATCGTTTTCCAAGCCCCAGCTCAATTTCAAAAAAATGAAGATGTCTCGAATACGACTCTCTATTAACCTAAATTTTGGCAGTATATTATGTATAATATATATATATACAGTAATTATAAAGTTTGGGGATGTAAGCAACGTGTTAAACGTAAGATGGAAATCTCTGGAAATTTTACATGGATGACGACGCAGCCAGATCCCCGCGGCAAGTCCTTCTTTTTAAGTCGCTGCCAACCTCGTGAATGTTACGTTTAAGCTATGAAAAAAACCGCATCAAACCGCCCTCTGTGCGACGCGCTTAGCATCTGGTCCTCGTCAAAATGTGCCACGTGATTGGAAGGTGTCGGGCTCACGGCTGCGCTTACCTCAGGTGTAAGGGATGATGCTGGGCTTGGATGGGTTGTTTACTTGGGGCAGTTTGTCCAAAAAAGGATGGCCCAAAAGCCCTATGTTTTTCTGAGAAAATGATGATTAATCAATTAATCAGTGGATTTGTACATGGTATCCTAGTTTCACACAAGTCCTTTTGAATGCGTCGCCTGATTGGATGGATGCCTTAATGAAGTGAAGCTTTCTTGCTGGGTTTGTCAGGTTGAATGGGTTATATTCCTTTCTTAGTGGGCTTGGATGGCATGCGCGAATCTGGGCAAATGATCATACTTCCCCAACATGATTTCAGGCCATGGGGATGCGTTACCCACGCAACTGGGCAAATTTTCCTGTCATTTCCAAAAGAGGACTTCACAAAGGACATAACATCTTAAAGACATGTGAAAGACATGTTAAAGACATTTACCCTCTGGTAAATTAACATAGACCCTGGCAGATAGGGGTTGGAAGACTAGTTTCCATTAAAAATTGGTGATTTTCAGGGTCTATGTTTATTTACCAGAGGGTAAAACAAAAACGTTTTGGTAAGTCCGCCCTTGGTGGATTTCTTCCCTGGATTTCACCATCGATCTCCGTGCAAGGTGTGCAAGGTGCTGGCTGGAAGGGATTGTTCAGAGCAAAGGAGCCACAATGATCAAAGGTGCCGGCATAGGGACCTGACTTCGTGGCGGATCTGGAAGTTTTGATTTTCCGCGTCTGATTGAATTCTATCATGAGATCAGAATCTTAAATATATATATATAATAATAACAATAATAATAATAATAACAATAATAATAATATATTCAATATCACAATGAACAATCTCAGTATAATGATTAATGATAATGATAGTACAATGATTAATGGTATGGATGATTATATCGTAATTATACCTCTGAATGGTAATTTTAAGAACTTGAAACTAAGATAATGAGTATTAACCAATGGATTTGGGGGCTGCCCAGCATCTCCAGACAAACACGAATCTGGATTTTTTCTCGGATGATACAGGATTTTGCTGGAGACACATGGAGGGAAAAAGCCCAGCAAAATTCCGCTGATTTAACCACGGCATGCCGAGGCACTCTTCTCAGGGGACTTTCCTTGGTCCTGCCCGCCCAAGCGAAAGGGAAAACGGGTGAGTTCACCTGTGACATGATGGGAATATCACCAATATATACGCAACAATATAATGCTACGACGGTGAAACCACGTGCCCCAATGACTTGACCTTTCCTCCCCCATCCGGGCGCTGGGGAGTCCTTGTCAAAGAGTTCGTTGCGAAGCACTTCGATTTCCGTGCGTAAACTCGAGACGATATCCTGCATCAGAGTTTCCAATGTTTCCAAGATGCATTTCTCCGACCGGCATCTGATGGCTATTGGGGATGTATGATTTCCGTGCATTTTGGTCATCTCAAATGAATCCAAACAGCATCCAATCATCCCCGATCGCCTCGTGGCACTGAACAAATCAACCAAAACTCGCCAAAAAGCAATCTTAAGGTTTACATGTTGAATCATGTTGATACCAAAACCATCTCAAACAATCTTAAAGCATCTTAAACCCCCACATTCTGGATGGCTAAAGCATGTTAAAGCCCCCATTGAATAGTCAAAGCCTCATTTCTTCGACGTCATGGGCACCTGGTGACGCTTCAGCATGCTCTGGGTAATGGTCGCCTCCCGGGATGTTTCATCAACTTCTGGCAGGGGGATGTCCTATGATGGAAGCTTTCCAAAACACATGTGTTAAAGATCTTTATTTTGGCATATCTGGCAGGATATGTCCTCGACAAAAATTCCACCCGTCAAAACTCCATGTGATATGAAAAATAAAGCCCCCAAAAGATGAAGAGGCCCAATACTAAACCAGGGTTGAGTTTGGGTGCTATATAATATATATAATATATATATATATATATTATATAATATATATATAATATATATATATTATATTATATATATATATATATTTCTATATTATATATATTATATTATATATATATATATATATTAATGTGATCAGAGATCAGAGAAAATGATTCTCTCTCATCATTTGGCCGCTCCCCAAATGTCTAATTCTTTGCTGGAAAATCCCCATGAAATCTGTATCACCCCCCATGAACATTCCCATTTCAGGATCCTTAAACCATGTCTGAAACAGCACTTAACTGATGGTAAAACACTGTTATTCAACAATCCACCGATAATTAAACACCATGTGTGATATGTTTTGACCATTTTCACCATTGAACACCATATTTAAGTGATATGTTTTGACCATTTTGACCACTGAACACCATATTTGTGATATGTTTTGACCATTTTTTGCACCATCTTTGATACCCTCTGGTAAACTAACATAACTATGGAAAATCATCATGTTTAATGGGAAAATCCACTATACATGGCCATTTTCAATAGCTATGTTAGTCATTACCAGAGGGTATGTGAAGCCCATGTGTTTCACCACCGGTTCAGCACCGGTGGTTCGTCAAAGGCAACGTTTCACCAGGGCTTCACCTGCTGCGCCACCAGCTTGGAGAACTCCGCATCGGTGAAGTCATCGCCGAAGCGCTCCATGGCGATGGCAACGATGGGCTGAAGCTCCGCCGATCCTGGCTGTCCTAGCTCTAAAGCCAGATGTTTTTGGATGGTTATTACTAATTACATGTTATTACTAAGTTAAAGCCCTAAAGCCACATATTTTTATGATTATAAACTATAACATATTATAAATGGGATTATCATTCCATGGCCTGGGAGCCTGCTAAAGGGCCGGCCCTTCAAGATCTCAAGATGCGAGTTCTGGGAATATGCGGCGATATTTTGATTGGAACCCCGCCAAAACGACTGATGTAATCCGGTTGCATTCTTCAAAAGATCCGCCAATTTGGCGCCTGTTCTATGCTTCCAGTGGAGCCAACCACAGCTGTGAAAGCACGACATGCGAGATGCGAAGCGACTGGGCCGTTTTAGCCTCTGGCGACAAACGGACAAATCCCACATTGACATACAGATGATTTATCCATAAAAAGCGGAATTGTTCATTGTCAGGATTGTCTCATATCCCTCGAAAATAGCAGAGACTAAATGCAAACAATGAACATATCCAAGAGTGAAACATAGTGAAAGCATAAACTGGGGGCCAAATGTGTTCGTAGACAACCATCCCACTTGGTGGCTTAGTACCCTCGTCAGAGATTTGGAAAGGGATCATGGACCATCATGGACCATCACAACAAATCCGGTGAAGGCGGCCACAAAGTCATCCGGTTGACTTTGGTTTGGAGTCTATGGCCATCCCGTCTGCGTTTCTGCGGATTTGAGTCTGGGGCCATGAATTGCTGGCTTCCCCATAGACAACTTACCCGCTGGTCATGTAACCTGGCAATGAAAAAACAAGTATTTCTGAAAGTCATTTTAAGGTGATTTTCCAACACAAGTTGGGATTCTCAATTGCCAGCCAGGTTGGATAAACGTAGAGTCTCCATATCGGACCTGTGCTATTTTTTCCATATCGGCAGCGAGTTGTTGCCAGCTGCAGCCAAACTGTCTCCGATTTACATGTCCAACAGGTCTTTGGGCCGGGCCCAAGACCTGCTATACACAGGGATATTGATGAATATGAATGTGCATAACTCACACACACATTATACAGTTATACTTATATATACTTATATAGATGTACTTACACATATACCTATATATATATGTATATATATATATATACACATATACCTACATACATTTACATATACTTATACATACTTCTACATACTTATTATGCATACTTATTATGCATACTTAATTATACTTATATATATATATATTTATATATATACTGATAATAGATATATACTTATATATATATATGCTTAAATAATAATATATGTATGTGTATATATATATATAAGTATATATAAATACTTATATGTATAGTTATATATATATATATATATCATACTTGTATATATATATATATATAGATTTATATATACATATACTTATATATATACTTATATATATATATATATACTTATATATATACTTATATATACTTATGTATATATACTTATATATATACTTATATTTATATATATATACTTATATATATATACTTATATATATATATATACTTATATATACTTATATATACTTATATATATACTTATAAATATATATACTTATATATATATATATATACTTATATATATACTTATATATATACACACTTAAACACTTAATTATATATATACATATATATATACTTATATATATATACTTATATATTTATATACTTCAATATATATACTTATATATATACTTATATATATATACTTCAATATATATACTTGTATATATATATATATACTTAAATCAATATATATACACAAATATATATATATATATATCTATACAAATATATACAAATGTATATATTATACTTATATCTATTATATACTTATATATATATTGTATACCTATATATATATACTTCTATATAAATAAATATATACTTATGTATACACTTCTATATATACTTAGATATATATACTGATATATACACATATATATACTTATGTCTATACTTATTTATATATACTTACATAGAAATACTGATGTATATATTTATATCATATATACATATACTTATGTGTGCATATATACTTCCATATACTTATATATATACTTGTGTGTACATACATACTTTTATATATACTTATAAGTATATGTATATACTTATATATATATACTTATATACTTATATATATATAGTTATATATATACTTATATATATATACTTATATATATATATATAGTTATATATATATATACTTATATATATATATATAATATAGATATACTTATATATATAATATATAGATATACTTATATATATATGTACTTATATATACTTGTGTATGCGTGTATATGCTTATATGTACTTATATATACATAGCTATATGTACTTACGTATATAGACATAGTTATATATACTTGTATGTACTTTTATATACGTGTATATACTTTCATGTATACTTATAACTTTTATGAATAGCGGACAAAATTACGTGCCCCCCTTTCATGCCATGCACAAATTAGGGTCGTCCCTTATCGGTAGTGAGGATTTCTGCATTCTCAGACTTTGAGGCGACCGATGCGAAACAGGGGTATCGGTATGGGGTCGTCCCCTATCGGTAATGAAGGTTTGCACACCCCTCAGCAAGGCCAAGGCAAAGCAAAACTAAACTAATTGGTATTACAATAATTTTGCCGGTTACTCATATTATATATATATACTTATACAATATGCTCCTCTTTACATATACGCGTAAATATAAAGCAGTGTATTTACATTGATACACATTGGGATGACTCTGGATATATCTATACATAAATAATCATAAATACATCTACAAGTACACATCATCCTTATTATATATATACGTATGTATACATACTGTACACATACGCAGCATAGATTTACATATACACGTATATGCACAGAATCATACTAACTTTTCAAGTGTTACACACAAAAAAAACACATATTCATACATACCAGCTGCACATCATGCATGCGTGCATAGATATGCCACAATATTTTTGTATACCTTGTCCCTGTGGAGGTAATGTCTAAAATCTTCCAGTGGCGATTCATTGTCCTCGACCAAAAACATTTTATAAACACGTTACCCGGTCAAGTGACCATTTGGAATGTATACCCATTTTCAGACACATCCATATACAAAGAAACACTGGTGACAAGGGATCCAAGACTGTGCAACTGGGGGGGTCCTAAAATGGGGAACGCCAGGCTATCTTTCAAGATCTTTCAAGTCAATGGTCATTTTTATTGATGTTATATCACGTTTGATGGGGAAACCCGTGGTGATATGGGCTACCCTACCCCTATTTCAGCAAACATCCAAATGAATGTGGATCGGAGACGTCAGTGCTGTCGTTGCTCAGCACAGGGGACACTAGGCACGACCAAGCCACGCTTGGATCGGGGCTGAATTGATCCTCATATTTCCCAAAAATGATCTGAACCAACCACACAGAGGAACATCACTGGGGATCAGCATACCACATAGGATTCATAGGACAAAGAAACAAAGTAGCAAACATTTCTAGTCACCAATCAGCTGATAGTTTACTGTAGCTAAAATGAACAAGAATGCATATCCTCGGGTAAGAATTTACACCCACATCGAGAACCAAAAAAACAATCCTCGCGATCCAAACACAGCCGTGACAGGCACCGGAAAATTGCTCCTGTCGAGAGCAACAATTGATGTCAAATATGTAAGCGAAGCGAGTTAAACTGTCAGGAACGTCAGGAAATGACATGGAGGTTTCCTAAAATAGGGTTGTAATGAGATTCTCCATTATAAACCATCCAGCTATTGAAGGGGTACCCCCATCAAGCCCATGAGTATGGAAAGCCCCAAATGCTCAAAAAAAGGGCTGTGCTCTTCCAATATTTTCAGCCTTTCCACAGACTTCGGAAAAGACCATTTGAAGCAACAACCTAACCCCACAAAAAAAAAAAAATGCGTGAGGAACACCTCACTCACCACCCTCATTTTAGGAAAAAAGGCAGGCTCCCGAATGGATGGACATAGGGAAACCTCCATCTTTATGGAGCGATCCCTTTTCATTTGTGTTATATTATCCAAAAAGAAAACCAATAATAGAAGTATAATACTACTATAATGCCCATCTTGACCGACTTAAGCATCAAGCAACTTGAAGAAAGACGTTTTGAACATTGTTCATGTGCAAATAAACTTGCCAAAAAAACGACTGGTTCTGGGCCCCTTAAACATTGCATGGCCAAGACAGTTGATCTTGCCTTGGCATCTTGTTCTTCTGTCGAGCTACTTCCACTAGATCATCTGTCATTTTCCGAGTGTATAGCAAAATCGAAGCTAAATAATATACATTAAGCCCTTGGCTCTGGCGTGTTCTCTCACACTCCGTCGACACCTATATCCCCATGGTTTTGGTTTGATCTTCGGGTACTTCAACCTTTGCAATCCGGACAGGACAGCGACTGAATTTGCAGGCCTCACTGTTTTATATCGGTCCAATCGTTTTCTTATGTTTCTCTACATTTGGGGAATAGCATGGAATATTTATACACATGTAATATACCCTGAAATTGCCAGTGTTGCGAGGAAAGTTCTATGATCAGTACAATAAGATTGTTGGGGTACCCTATCTTCAAAATAACATAACAAAATGGTTGCGATCCATCCCTGCAACGAAGACGCTCCCAGACACCTCGCCAGGACTTTGGATCCTATGATCCTTTCTTAAAAATTCGAGACCTTCCAGGCACGGAAGTCAATGGCTCATACCAGTGGCTGATTGACAACGAAAATTCATGAACCCTGAATTGTCCTAGTCAAACGGAATTCATCATCTGATTAGGGATACAAGTAGTTGGGGTAGAAAACAAGAACAAACTCCGGACATATATAGGAACAAACCACCACATGAAAGAGATCCAAATAAAACCCTTCAGAACTCTCAGTTCCCAACTATGTCCTAATTTTACGACCACTTCTATCCAGCTTCAATTGCACATCTGCCACTTGGAATTGTGTCGTGCCACAGCAGTGCCAAAGCACCACCGGCACTGACGCACGACTCGACTGAGAATACTACTCCCCAAGGCAGCTCCATGAAACAAGCCTTGTCATAGACAAAATAACTCAACAAGTTCTAGCATGTTCTAGCTAAAAATCTGCAAATATGAAACAGATTGAACGTGTGTTTTGATGCCAAACATCCCTGACAACAAAAACAGCTGGAAAGGCAAGTCCTCTAGTTGGTTCATGTTGGTTCAAGGTGCTGAACCTTGTATGAGAGAGCAAGTGCCAGTACGCCTGCACAATGCCTTTAGCATCGGCTAGTGGGCGATCCGGGCACAGATTATCTGACTGGGGTACCCGGGTACCCCGTATATCACCATTGAATGGTTTCCCTGTAAAAATAACCAATCATTTGAATGATATCTTGGGGTCCCCTGTTTAAGATCTTACCTCCTGTGTACGGTGTCTTGGGCCGACATGTGCCGACATAATCTCCAGAATCACCCAATTCTGTGCACTGGAGCGCTTGCGCTTTGATGATAGGTCTAAGCACTAAAGCTGGATGGTGGTTTCAGTACATCCCAGAATCATCACCTGTGTTTTGTACACAATCCTACATCAAAATGGACAAACAGCACTCTTTAAACCAGTAATGATTTTTGGTAGAGACAAAGAAACCTCACGTGCTAGTTCTCTCAGCCAATCTGAGAATGACATGCCACAACTGAAGGAAGCCTGTCGAGTGTATCGGATAAACATAGCTTTTCAGCACTGAAATCACCAACCAGAAACGTTTCGCTCACTCCTTCACAGGTCCTTCCTCCTGTTTTCCCTTGCCTTGTTCTAGATCGACCTGCTGTCCACTGCAGCCAGCGGCAACGAAAGAAGTGGGGAGGCCAATTGGAAAATGATGATTGGAATATGGACAGAGGTCTGTCACTGTTTTGATTCTATGGGTTCAAAATGGTTCAAAGCACACTCAAAGTCTCCAAATCGATGTGTGGCTCAGTGGGCAGCCGCTGGACTAACGCCAACACACCAAGGGTGCGTGTGATACAGGAGGTGGTGAGTTCCGCCCCTTCAAAGATAGTAATCCCTTACCCCTAATTTCAAATATGCAGCCAAGACAGGGTTTAGTATTGGATCTATTCACTTTTTTTGGGACCAATATTTGGTGGACAATTTATATTAGGAGAAGAGACTATTCAAAAATGAAGAGACAACTGCATATACATACGCGCATGCAAAAAGAACACAAAGCAAGCGGAACGATGAAATGAACCATTGTATATATATGTATACATATTATACATAATATATATATATATATATACATATATATATATATATATATATATATTAATAGATTGACAAATACCCACATACTGCAAACAGTACAACGACTAATGTGGTTTCGGTGCATCTCACACTGTATCTACGACACTCCCAAGGTCTGCTTCCATGCCAACTGATCTGCGCCTCTTTCACGTCATTGGCCGCCTGAACCTCCCATGTGTCGATGGTAAGGAAGAAACCTCAAACATGCCAATATCATCCAATATCCCAATATTCAATACACTCCAGGAAATCAAAGTGGAACTCTTGAATTGGATATTCAATATCTGCCTGGGTCAAGACACTGGCACACCCTAGTGACCATCCAAAAATGAACATACACACTTTGACGGTTGACGGGACATTTAACCTCTGGTAATGACTAACATAGCTATTGAAAATGGCCAGTTATAGTGAGTTTTCCCATTAAAAATGTTGATTTTCCATAGTTATGTTAGTTTATTAGAGCGTACCATTGTTTACCAAATGTGGGGTGCTTTGATTTTGCCAGCAATTCTGTCAAAGCTTTTTTTGAGGTTTCCAGGCCAGTCTTGAGTGGGGTCAATCGTTTCAGTGGATATTCTGGGCGCCAGAAACTTCATCACCAGCTCCAGTACCCTCTGGGAATTTCATGCGTAGCTACAGAAAAGGGCCCAATTTACCATGGTCTATCTATTATTTCAATGTGGTTTTCCATGGGTTTTCAATAGCTATGTTAGATTATCAGAGGGCAAAACATCCTTCAGATTTTTTTTGCTGCAGAGATTAGGACCTCTAACTGACTGTGGGCTATGGGGCACCAGGTACCGATTCATTGGAGGTACCTACCATATATATATATATATATATACATATAAGGCGGCATATATGTACATAATATATATATATATATTATACAGTGTTCGTGGGCTATGTCAAATTTTCAGGCGATTTGCCCCCCAAATATGGCTTTATATGGTACGGTCCCTCCAAATGTCTCACGGTCTCACGTCGCTGACGGCCTCCTCACTATTTTTGGAGCTTCTGGAGCAAACACTGCTGGGGGCAGGAATCACACTTGCCTCCTGGCATGGCGAGAGGTCGATGTATGTACATCTATGATGTTATACATCTATATATATATATATGTCAAATAATGTGCCATGTTTTTTTCAATATATATAATATATCGTATATAATTACAATTTATAGACATCTGCATGTATCTGCATGTGGCCTTCATGCTCTCCAAGATATGTTTTGTATATTCCAACAACACTCTGATCCTAGGCAAGTTCTGAGGTGGCTAGAAAGGACGGTGCTGCAAGACCCTTCACCCTTGCATACCCTAGGCCCTAGGCTGACAAAACCTGCGAAAGAGCTGGAGTCCACTACTCTCATGGTGGGGTCATTGAGTCCGAAGAAATTCACCCAAAAACCAAATGGGGATTCCCAATTTTGGGAAAGATGACAGGCCATGCAACATTCATCCAAGCGGATTCTTGAACGATGATGAACGGTGCGCCTCCGTGGAACCCTTTGGCTGATGACTAATAAAAATCACCCGCCACAGCGGTTCATTTCTCTTCGCCTTGGCAACTCCAAGGGAATCCAGTACAATCCAGTGAATTCGGATGCCAGTTTTCAAATCAACTGTCACCCTGGACATGCTTGAACATGTCCACGAATTATGCTGAGAAGATCATCCCAATCACCCGATTTCTCGGAGTTTCCTTGACATCTGGCATCATGGGCATCACCCCAAGCACCTCATGCCAAGACACGTAGGTCATGTCCAGCTTCCACGCCAGAAGCAAGAAAATAGGTAGAACAAGCCTAGGACATCAAGCTAGTCGGAGAAATCCAGCTGCAATAGCTGGCGAATCATGATTCTTGATGCCACATGAGGGGAGAGGTTTGTTGAGAAGTAGTCCCAAGGGTTCTTTTTTTGTCATGGGCTCCGGGGGACCAGTACATTTTAAAGGCAGCCAACAAGTCCATCCGACTCACTGTGCTCACCCAACCCTTCCGCGGTCATGGCACACTTGTAGAGCCGCGTAAAACAGCGGCACACCAGCCGCCTTGGAGGCATCGTCCCTGAGCGATGCGGCAGGCTGGGCTGGAACCACTTGGGGGCCTGGCCTTGCTGCAAACAAGGGTCTCTTCAAAGGACGATAACGCAATCGCCATGGCTAGGCCAGTGTTCCTGTGAGGCAAACATATGTGAAGTTGGGCGACTCTGAGACTCTGGAGATTGGATTTTTGTTTTGGTGTTCTATTGTACGAACATTTGTTGAGAATCTCATGGTTGGTATACAAGCCACCGCCTACATCTCCTGGCCTAGACAGGTCTTCAAACAACTATATATAACATTAAAGTCGGAACCCCAAGTTTTGGTAGGGGTTTTCCATGCAATATGTCGTCCACATTCAAACTCAGCTTAGTTGTAGCCAGGCCACTGATAACACACCTCCACAGCAATGGCCACAGCCTGAAAGTTGCACTACAATGCGTGCATATTATATTTGTATATATTATATGCAAAATATGTATATCTATATAGAATCTATATACACTTGCATATATACCATACCTATAAATGTATATATATATATACTATACATATATGATATATATATATATATACAGTATACATATATGATATATATATATATAGTAATTAGTATGCATATATATATATATACATATAAATATGCATATACATATATAGACAAATAGACAAATTGATACATGTATACAATTATACACATATGTAAACAAATACATGTTATAATATATATATATATGTACATACACATCTATACATACACATCTATACATACACACATATACATACTCATATATATACACATACACATATACATACACATTTATGTATATATATATACATAAACTAATGTGTAAATATATACACGTGTATATGTTTTGTATATATATATATACATATACATATACAAATACATATGTTTATGCATATACACGTGTTACATCACATATAATACATATGAACACATGTTTTATAAATAAATATATATATATACAAACACAATACACATATACACATGTAAATATACAAATTTACACATGTAAACATATGCTGATGCACATATATATTTACACGCATGCACATAATATACACATGCATGCGTAATTACGTATATCTTATCTCTACATAGATATACATACATATACACAACAAAAACATCTTTAGCCTCTGGCAATCAAACATTGCAAAATCCGCAGCTGGAATGATCTTTCTTAGTTGATCGTCGACGTTTGTCTCTGAATGGATCATTTTGGACGCTCGAATTTTCCAGTGCCAGGCAACGACAGTGTCAGGGTTTCAAACATGGCCCCCACAAAATGGACAAACATCCAGCAACAAAACAGCGAGTGAAGGGACTGTTTTGTTTTCATTCATGTCCAGTACATTATGGATTCAAGCAGCTGGCAGTAGCGAAACCACCATAATATAGGACACAATCATGGAATGGATCTTGTTCAAGTAAGAAAAAAAACACTGGAACCAACAGAGAAATCACCGGGCCTGAGGTTGCAGTTCATTCTTGCTAAAACTTAAAGCTCATTAGTGACTCATCATAATCATCTGGTTGTTTTCAGTGCGTCAAGCGTTAAAAACGCCATTGTCTCATTTTTTGGGGGCAAAAGGCGAACACTTTTTGGGTTGATTTTCCATGAATTTCCCATTGATTTTCCCTTGATTTTCACACCTTCGAACACCTTCACCTTACAAATCCCTGCCTCCGGTCCAGGAACTCTGCAACTCACCTGCCCATCCGCAGGTCATGATGGATAGAATTCCATCTGATGATTCCATGAAGATCTTCCATGAAGATTCCATTCATATTCCATTTATGAAGTTTATATTCAATGTTCACAGTTCCATGGAATATGAAATAGTTTCATTTCTGATGGATATAGTTCCATAATAATCTGAGGCGTGTAATCCATGAATCCATGACATCAATGAGATTCATTGATGACACGATATGGAAATATCTTCTCATACGAACCTGAAAGTAGCTCCCTCTCATACGACCACTTGGGGATAATTCCTCTTAACAAATCATAATATATTATAATTCGTTCAGACTGATTGATCATTGTGTCTGACTATGTCTGATGAATTCATTCAGGGCTTTGATTGGACTCCCAGAGATCTGCCGTAGTTCTTCATGGACATGAGACCCTCTGAATCATGGAACGTCTACATCGACCTACTGGTACCAGCCGGTGTATGATCTCGTCCACCCCTACTGGCAACATGCTGATATGTGACTACTACCACGAAGGGTGGCTAAATTTCCAAACTTCTAAAGTGAGTAGATAATATCCGATACTTTACTTTCGGAAAGGGCCAATTTGTGCTAATCCATTTGTCTACTTTAGTTTTGCATAATGGCATAATCATGCATAAATATGCACAATGTTTCTGGGGATCTTGTTTCCAGGCTTCCGCTTTGTTACTTTACCCTGTTTGTTCTAATTGCATGTTTCCACCAGTCTGTGCCTTTCGTATTGCCGATTGTTTGTTTTCAATATCATAGAAATCATTCTCAGAGGTGAACAGAACACAAATGTTCAGTTGAATGACTATACATGTATAAAGATGTATAAAGATATATCATGATATATCCACCATCCACCATTTTTAGACCCAACTCTGTCTTTAACGCGCCTTCGCAAGTCCCAGGGCTATGACAACACTGCAGAGGCATGGAATGGAAACGCAAGCGTAGAATTTAGGCTCTTTATCCTTAGTGGAGTGCTGTTTAACTTTCGTTGGCTGAAGATGCTCCACTTTTTTCTGTATTTCATCCCCACATTTTCCTTTAGAAGAAAGACACTTTGGTGGGATGAGCATGGTTGGGCGGCCTAGAACTGATGTTCCAAATCCCTTAGATGGCAAACATGAAAGACCAAAAATGAAAGACCTCTGTCAAACATCTAACACCTGTTGAACATCCCTTGAACCTCTTCGATGCAGTACCAGTTTGCCCTTCAGATTCAGCACCCATGTTGACTTGGGAGATGGGCTAATCATTGGCTAATCTTCTCAAATTGCGATGGAAGAGACATGAAGCCTAACAAAGAGGATTTTACTTTACCAAGCAAAATGCGGATGCAAAACCCAACCACATTGGTTACATAACTGGGATATCAGATGATATAAGTGCGGTATAAGTCAATATACTGGGATAGATATGACATACTGGTATAAGTACGGTATAAGTCAATTGTTTGGCCGCCAAAATGGATGGGTAGCCCTTGTGCAGGGTCCAACCCACGAAGTGATACCAATCCATGTTGGATCGAATAGGAAAAACTATTTGGGTGAAATGGATTTAGAAGTAAAGGTTTACTGTAATTACTGTATAATTACTGTAAACTGTCCCTTAAACCAATCCTGGATGATGCAATGAACCATCCCGTTTCGCGGCATTCGACATTAGGAGAACACTCTGGACTTGATCCTCAAGTTGCGCCTAGGGGCCTAGACACCTGCAGTACTATGAGATGCCTGGGATAAATTAAAGGAATTCACAAACCTGAAATAAGGTTGGGATAATCCCCCCTTTTTTCTGGCCATCATCTATGGTTACGTCGCGATGTGATGTCGTTTTTTTTTCTCCGGATGGTTGCTGTGTTTTGTTTCCGGCTGGTGTATCATCAACCTGGGGCCCAACATGCCGTGGCGACGACTTGGGAACTAAAACCAGCTGCAACTGAAGAAACATCCAACATCTGCATCCGAAGAACCAGCCTCCCATCTTCTATCGAAATTCCTAGCTGCTTGGTGGTTTTAACCATCTTGAAACATATTAGTCAATGGGAAGGATTATCCCATATATGAAATGGAAAATATAAAATGCTTGAAACCACCAACCAGCTAGGGGATGACTGATTGATTCTTGTGACAGGCACATTGTGGCAAGGCAAGCGGCCCATACTGGATGATCGTTCGAGGAGACAAATACATTCAAAGCGATCAGAAGCACTCCACATACATTTCCAACCTCAGCGCCATAGATCGGGACCAGACTCGGGACCAGACACGTTCCAGATGTGTCCAGATGTGTCCAGCCTATTTCAGCAAAGATGCACCATTTTCCGACAGAAATGGCAATAGCAGAGGGAATCTTTGTGATTTGATTCGGGGTCGGTTGTAGAAACACCTCATCAATGCGAAGGACGAACATTGAAGAGCCCACTGCCATCCTTAAACGTAGCAAAAGGAATGTAAGGTACATTGCATGTCATTTCAGTTTGCAGCATGTATACACCTGAACAAACAACTTGAGGCCGGGGGTAGATGACGAAAGCTAGCGGGGTAGGAGAAAGAAGGAAGGGAAGAGGTGAGTTGTGGAGGGACTGTCATCATCGTGTCGCGGCATTGTTCGTCCCAACGAGGATGCAACAATGATATATTGATATATGATATATAACAATGATATATATGGGGGAGGGGGCAGGGGGTGGCCCTTTCGCGGGAAAAATCACGCGATGTCCTTGGGGAGCCCCGGAATACGTGCTAAAGCAAGAAGACTCTAGCGAGCTGACGCTAGCTGTCGTGATAATGACAATAATTGCCAATAATGTTAAAATGTAATTGAATAACGATGATGATGATGATGATGAATCTGAAGAATGATGAATGATGAATGATGATGATGATAAATGATGAATGATGAATGATGAATGATGAATGATGAATGATGAATGATGATGATGATGATGATGATGATGATGACGACGAGGATGATGATGATGATGATGATGATGACGATGACGATGACGATGATGATGACGATGACGATGACGAGGAAGATGACGAGGACGAGGACGACGACGACGACGACGACGACGATGATGATGATGACGAGGACGAGGACGAGGACGATGGAGAGGACGATGACGATGATGATGACGATGATGATGACGATGATGATGACGATGATGATGACGATGATGATGATGATGATGATGGTGGTGATGGTGGTGGTGGTGGTGGGGGAGGGGGGGGGCCCTTTCGCGTGAAAAATCACGTGATGTCCTTGAGCAGCCCCCCCAATACTTGCTAAAGCAAGAAGACTCCAGCTAGCTGACGCTAGCTTTCGTGATAACAGTACACCCAACAGTGCGAATTTTCAACCCAAAATGTGCACACGTACCCATTGAGAACGATGGGCAAAATATGGTTTGTGGGAATTACAAACTTCCTGGAACAGTATGGAAATGATATGGAAATGGAATAACAACCGAATTGACTGGAATAACATGTAAATAAAAATAATCAACCGCAATGGGATAATAATTAACATCATATCAATCTACATATTTTGGGTGCACGTTCTCTGCTTGACGGTTTTTTCAACTCATATAAAAACACCGGACGGTTTTTAAGGCGTGAAACACACTGTGAAGCCCTCAGGCTCAGGGTGGAGCTGCGCAAAATATATCAAAATATAGGTGAAACATGGTGAAACAGGGGCAAAGCCACCCTTTCAGAATGATAATATCATAAATGATCATAAGATATCATAAGATATCATAAGATATTAGAAACTCCAGCTCACCTGATCAGAGTTGTGCTCGAGGAGGCAAATGTGTAGTGTTGGATCTTGCAGAATTCGTCGAATTCTTTCGGACCTGGCAAAATCGATGGGTCGAAGACCCCGGTTGTTCGCAATCTCTGGGTCTGCTCTTGCCCTGAGTAGGAAAGCTAAAGTGCCTTCGTTGTCAAAGATCGCGCACCAACCCAAGGGGGTCGTGCTGATATTGCTGGCCACACTGACGAGCAAATTGGCTTCCCTTCTGCAGCACCAGGAGTAGAGCCTGCTCATCAGTTCGATGCTTCTCACGATCCCTTCAGGGCGTAGGACCTGATTGATGTCTGCCCTGCTTCGCAGCAACAACTGTGCTGACCTCAGATCGTTGCCCGAGTCACCGGAATACGCAATGTGGTGCAGTGGCGAAGCACTAGCCAAGCCTCCTTTTCCACCATGCACATCTGCTCGGAGCTCCAGTAGTTTGCCCAGCACTTCACAAGGAGCCCCCAGTGCTGCCATGCTTTGAATGGGGCAACTCTGTGCCAAATCCTTTCCCTGAAAGTTGACACCTGCACGATATTGAACCAGAAGCTCCACCGCGGCCTCTGTGCGGCACAGATTCAAAGGTGGTGCCACATTGACGCTCGAGCGTTGGAGATCTGCTCGCAGCTCCAGGAGGGTCTCGAGCATCTGGAGGTCATGACTTCTGAACCAAAGGGCCAAGTGCAAAGGGGAAAGGTCTGCCATGTACAACACCTCCGGCATGGCAGGTGCCTTGGTCTGGATGGAGGCCTTGATGGTGGCAAGGCTGCGAAGCAGTCGATGATCTCCCGAGAGCACCGCACAGGCCACTGGGCCGAGGCCTTGTTGCTTCAAAGGTTTCTTGAAGGAAAAGTCCCTTAGAAAGCCTTCGACCGTTCGACACTTCGCCGGAAGACCCGTCACCTCTTCAAACAGTGCCAAATACAATCGAAACGCCGTTTTGTTTTTGCTCTGACTGAGCTCAAACACATGCCGGGTCAAAGCCGACCGAATAACCTGTCGGCAGCAGGCCCGGTCCTCTTCAACGGCAAAGCTGCCCGAATGCACTGGGTATCGGTACCACAAAGATGTTGTGAACTGAGCCGATTCGTGACTCTTCACTACAAGGATTGGCATCTTCTTGGGTCGCATGGACAAAAAATGGCTCCACAATTCTGTACGGCACCAACCTCGTTCAAGAAAACTGTTGAATGAACATTCAGATCTTGTGTCATGATGCATAGCTTTAGGAACCAATGCAACAAAAAGATTGCACATGTCCACGTAGTTGGGAATGTTGTAAATGTAAAGCAACTGCTCTTCTGTCGCTTGTGATACTCCGGCACCCAGGATCTGGGGGACACTGAAATAATCAAACCAAATGAATGCCTCTCCTATTTGGGACAGCTCTGCTTTCGTCAGACCGCGACCATTGAACTGCGAGATGAAGTCGGTGTCAATTCTGAGTTTCTTCCGAATCAGTCCATTCACAAAGCCTTGGAGTACTTGCAGTTGAACCCCATCCGGATCTGGATGGTGATGAGCCAACCACTGGTGCGAGACAAAGAGTGTGAACATGGTGGAAATCCATTCAGCCAAAACACCCTCAGCTTTCAAAACTTGATGTGGTTTGAAAATCCCTTTCATTTCAAGGACATAAACAACTGGCACAACCCACATGGGAGCATCAGCATGCTGTTGGCTCTCCCGGCCAGGCATGCAAAGCCGTGAGCGACTCGAGCGAGACGCCATGGCTCAGGAGTCTCAGAAATGGTTTGCTCGGCCAGACAGTTTCTTATATATAACTAGGATGACAACGGGAATCCGCTGAATGAAAAGATGCGATTGAGCATTCCTGGAACTTGGTACTTCTTGGTATTCGTTTCACGCTGCGGGGTCAGCAAGAGAGCTTTCACCTGCAACATGTCTTGGGCGCCGGAGGATTCCAGGATATCTATTGAGATCTTAGGTACCCACCCTTGCCAAGTGGCCCCAGTTAGAAGTTGGTGAGGCAAACCCCCATGGAACCTTAGCCGTACCCCCTATATAAGTGGGTTATCACGTCTATGAATGGATAAACATGGATAAACGACCATGGTTATTAACCACGTTACGAGGACCATGGGATGATCCTCACCTTGGCCAGGGCGCAATGTTCCAAATCCATCGACTTTTCGGATAGAGCCGGCTCACTGTAAGGCCACAGCCAATGGCAACAGCCGCGATCAAAACCTGGTAGCTTCATCCATGGGATGACCAGCAAGTCCCAAAAACTCTGCCCAGTTCACCGAAACAGAACTCGAACAACTGGGCAATTGCTTGGAATTCTTGGTTCGCCCTGCCCCCCCCGGGATTTTGCTTGTTGGAGCCCTGGGACAAGGTGCTAATGGGATGCTGCCTGTCTTGCCAAGTTACAGGCTGTACCAACTTCAGAAAGTTGAAGTTCAGAAGTTCGCCATAAGCACCTCAAAGCTCCCAAATCCAAGTTTCAAACAAAAATGAGGGCAAATTTCAAATAACTCTTGAACTTGTTCCATCTTGGACACCTTGCGACCTTGCACCCTTTTTACTGTAGGTCTGGTTTAATAGCAAAATAATGGACCAATTTTTAAAGTAACAAAGTATCATTATCATATATTACCCATCCAACGTGTCCCCAGAAAACATTGACATGGATATTTAGGATGCAACAAAAATAACTCGACCTTGTATCACTCGGAAGCGGTGTTGATCTGGAACATTCGGAAGATTCCCTTGCATGAGTCGACGCATCCCCTCAGCATCCAGGATGGACGCTTCAACTTTTTTCGCCCAGGATCAATAGCTATAGAGCAGCATGTTGAGAGGTGTCAAGCCACAGGACAGAATGGTCGAGCAAGTGGTCATTGCTATGCTCAGAGCCAGGTCGGCATTACAGACTGAACACCACCTGGGTCAAATCCGGCCCCTTTGCGGCATCCCAAAATTTCGGAACTGGGGTAACATGACAGTCATTGCCCTACAGGTCAAAAAGCCAGATTTTTTTCCCGGTATTTCTATAGAAGGAATATATTATGGCTATGCGATGCTACGGGCCTATGGACCAAAAGCCTTTCACACCAAAATAGCTGGTAAATGGATGCCTGAAACTCTGGGAAAGGAGAGCTTGATTCCAAAAGAAACTCCGGCCCCGCAATGAGAGTTTGGTTTTTGTATCTGTATACCCCTGTTTCCGTTTCAACATGTTTCAATGCTTCTTCTATGCTGACATTCTAGCAGCACACCTTGGATTGAGACAATGAGATACTAAGGGTCCCAAATTTCACACAAAAAAGCGGGAACCTCATGTTCACAAACTGTCTGGCGTGGGTTGCTGCAACCCTGAAGGCCAGAAACTAAAGCGACAGTGCAGGTCTTCTTGCCAAGTGAAAAACAATCCAAAGGAATACTCTAGACCCCTGTGTTCGTTCAAACATCTCTGATACAAGATGATACAAGTTATTGAGTCATGTACACTTGAACAGTACCCTTTGTTGTGTCCCCTGAGATATGCACATGTTGCCTCTGAATTTTGGCCATCAGATTTCCCAATGATGATCATCCAAGGGGCCAGTTGCTATAAGCACCTCCCGGAGAGGACGTGACCTGCAAACTGTTGATATGTTTGCCTGAAAGGGAACAAATGGTGGTTGATGCTTTGACCAAATTTGGACCGCTCTGAACAAGACTTTGAGCAAATGTATGTGGATTGTACATATCGTGTAGTGCGCCATCTTGAGGGTATGGCAAGCCCTCTGTGCTGGTGCAGCGATGAACACTGAGATTGTTTGTCTGTGCGAGCCAACTTTACGTGTCCTGTCCTGTCCCAAACAAATTAAAACAGTATGCATCAAGACGCTCACTTTTGACATCTTTTGACGTGATCTCAGAGTTCGGAGGTTGGCTTCGAATAGCAACATATTCAGCTCAGACAACAGTCAATTATGTACTGGTTGGTGGTTTTAACCATCTTGAAAAATATTAGTCAATGGGAAGGATTATCCCATATATAAAATGGAAAATAAAAAATGTTCCAAACCACCAACCAGTGTAAAGTTTGCTCAACTGTTGGCCCCAAACAAACAGTTGCGGCATGCTGCCCCAGTGCTGCAGCTGGGGCATGCTGGGACCCCAGCCTTGGATCAATTTTTTCACCCCCGAACACCCTCCAAATCTCTGAGGACCAGGACCGTGATCAGCATGATGCCATAGACGGGATCCAAATCGAAGGCCTCCACGTTCCCCGGTTTCAAACCATACTTGGTATAAGGTATTGCCTGCAAAGCTAAGCTTTGCATTTTTCGAGTGAAATATGTATATTATATATATATACTGTTAAAGCCATCTAAGTCCAAAATAAATAAAAAGACAAGTGTATGGAGGGCTACATTCATCTTCTGGTTTCATTATAGTCAGCATGTTGAGATGTTTGCGCAACGGAAGAACAGTTCTGAGGTCGCCAATTCTCACATATCATATCGTTCCAGGGCAAAAGTCAACTTCCAAACAATGTTCGACTGATCAGCAAGAACGAATATGTTCATGGCTTGTGAACCCGTTTCGGGCTATGTCCTTGCTTAAGCATGGTGCCAGGCATCTCAGGGGCTCCCCGCTGTTGATATTTTTCAGAGGTTTTTGTTGGGGGAATTGAAAAGGACCAAAAACGAAACTTGAGTTTCATTACCAACATCATCATCAACCTCAACATCAATATCAACTTTAACAATCATCACCAGCCTCATCAACAACAATATCGTGATCATCACGATCACCATCACTACCATCACTACCATCACTACCATCACTACCATCACTACCATCACTACCATCACTACCATCACTACCATCACTACCATCACTACCATCACCACCATCATCATCATCACCACCATCATCATCATCATCACCAAGTGTGGAAGTGCAAGAGATCGTACAATAGCATTGCATGACACATATGTGGAAGTGCAAGAGAACGTACAATAGCGTTGCATGACACATATGTGGAAGTGCAAAAGAACGTACAATAGCGTTGCATGACGCATATGTGGAAGTGCAAGAGAACGTACCATAGCGCAGCATGACGTATGTGTGGAAGTGCAAGACAGCGTACCATAGTGTAGCATGACAATAAACGTTGTTAGCCCACCCCGCACACCCCACACCCCTACCCCCCACCCCAATCCAGTTTTATGCTGTTAGTATGATACAAAATGATACAAAATGTCACAACAGTCACGAGCCTCTCAGATGCCCGGCACCTTAAACATGTCTAAACACATGCCAACAAACCACGGTTCTGGTGTTTTCTGGTTATATCCTAGTTATATTGGACTGTCCCAAATCCAGTACCATCCATCAATCGCAGACACATCAATCAGCTCACCCCAGCTAAGCCTTCGCGGCTGAAAAGCCCAGGAAGGGTAAAATGAGGAACTGACAGGCCACACCTTGGGGTAAGCATGGCTTGGTCCAGATTTTTGCCTGAACATCTTCAACACAGTTCAAACCAATGACAAATGTCTAGAAATATCCCAAAGACGGGTTACTCTACCTGGGTTGCAGCCGCACGGTGGACTGAGGTTTTAGTGAGTATGTCTAGACCTTTTATGGGAATCAACAGCCATTTACCCTCTGTTAAACTAACATAGCTATGGAAAATCACAATTTTTAATGGGAAAACTCACTATAAATGGCCATTTTCAATAGCTTTTTGTATGTTTACCAGAGGGTAATTAACATGTGGCTTCTTATGCTCGGCTTCCAGGCCAGTCATGGGCCATTGTTCTGATGTAAAAACCAAGAGACTACCATACTGTGGATGGAAGAAATCCTGCACCAGTTGGTAACTATTGGTCACTATGAAACTCTGTAAATAATGAGATTATAACGAGATAAACCAGCTGGTGCAGGTTTTTTTTCATCCACAGTATGTTTTCGCGTTGATATTCAAACGTCAGTTTTGGGCTGGATAAGCTTGAACCATTTTTACTTTAATGAAGCGGTCGCCATCACATGCAGCGATACATGGCCATATTTCCGCAACAAATGGCAACAGATCCAAACAGAGTCTTGTGTGAATTGTATCCCCATGACCTTCTACTAGCTCTATAAACTGATATTATTAGCAACCCCAAAAAGATCGAAGAGATTCGAAGAGTAAAATCCTACCAAAATAGTGAATACTTGACCCTTTCCTATCTTTTTCGCGGTTCCCATAAATCTCTGCAATTGCTCAACAGATCTTAAGAAAATCATGTGAGGAATAAAACCCATAAAATCGGAGCTTTCCCCAGTTGCAACAGCCAAATTTCCTTCACCGCTGTGATGTCCACCTGCCCAACCAAGCACCCGACCGAAGACAACGCTCTTCTTGGCTCTAAACCTGGAGCGGATGAGCTCTGTCTGAGGGTTCAGTGGAGATCTGGAAGGTATGAGCAGATGTTATACATGACTTTATATACTATATATATACTACATACTATATCCAAGTGTGGATGGTCCCAGAGGTAGCTAGCTGCAATGCCCAAGTGTCAGCACAGCGGAATCAAATGAAGATGGCAAAACAAAGAGGTGGCTATGCAACCTCGCTCAAAACCTTTTTCCTTGACCCCAAATGCAAACTGTCGTAGGCACGATGAAATCCGTGTGTTCGACTCAATTGAATGGACATGACAATTGCATGCCCCCGTCACTCTTCAGAGTGGTGTTCAAAAGTAAAATGGGAACCATAAAAAGTTTCACCATCATCCGGTGTCATCGGAGTTTTCTGGGTATTGTTCTCAAAAAGAGGAGTGTTTGTGCTTCTGCGTTTGCGAGCTGACCTCATGCCATCGTCCTCCACGATGCGCCACATGCCCTTCATGGTGTAGAACAAATCCAACTCCTTAGCCCCAGCTTTCGTCAAAGCGTTTCCCAACTGCGCTTCCGAGTGCGCCCATCGCACTACTACATTGTTTCGCTTTTGAGCCGCCTTGAGCGCTAAAAGCTCTATGTCGGTCCGTCGTTCAGCACCCTTTGGACTCAGTTCTTCACTTTGAAGTTTGTCATAAACATTACGGGAATCCGAAACAATACAACCAGGGACCACATTCACAAGTTCATTAACATCAAAAACATTAGGATTATCATGTAACATTTCCCCATATTGAAACCGAGCATGAAACAAAACATCTTCCCCATTAACAACAGCCCTTGCTTCTGCCGCTCCCGGACTTCGGGTGACACGGTCGATTTTTCCAGCATGCCAACTTATTGGGGTAATCTTTTCCATACCACCCTTCAACAAGTTCATTGGGGCAACTCCCACAAAAATCCCTTGAGTACTTCCCCCATCCCTCCTATTTTGACCAGCAGCATCGGCCCAACAAAACATTCCCAACGGGGTTTCTTTGGGGTGCGCATGAATCACCAGTTTGTGGTCTTTACGGGATTTCGCCTTTTGAAGAAGTTTATTGGTTTGGTGAATAGTTTCAACAGTACTAACAGTGACATCAGACAGTAACAAACCAACCTCAGCCGAAAAATGTGGTGCAACCTGCTGAGCGTGCCAGCTCAGTGCCCCGAACACTGCTCTCAGCAAGCTCTTCTCTTTTTCACTGGTGGGTGCGTTGGCGTCCTTTCGCCTGACCGCACTTAAACTGATTTCACTGACCTTATCTAAATACTTTGGCTGAGAAAGAAAGAAGGAGCCATCTTTTTGGGCCTCAATGAGAACTCCGCACTGCACAAAGGAGTTTTCCTCCCAATCAGTCCATTTGTACTTTTGCTGAATCTTCTTTTCAATTTCTTGCCATGCTGGATTGTCAGCTGGCCCAGCAAAAAGGAAATCATCTACGTGACCGGCTATCATGCCGGCGATGGAGCCATTTGGTTTCCATAACCAGCAACATGGATCTGACCAGGACTTTTGAAGTCCGAGTTCTTCCAGATATTCGCACACTGATTTGTACCACTCTAAAGGAGCGTCCACTAGGCCATAGCAGCCACGTTTGATCTTTGTGATTTCTCCAGGTTTCAGGCCCATGGCTTGACATATTTCAGGACATGGTGTGCAGTAAAGAGTTTGTGGATATTCACGACCCTGTAAAAAGGCACCAGTAACATCACCTTTGCGTACCCTCCACCTTTTCCTCGCCGCTTCGTGCAATAGGAGCTGGCGTGTCATCCTTGTCATCACAGGAGTGGTGGTGGCTCTATGTTCGTAAGAAGGGTCTTGATATCCTTGCAGTATTGCTCTTGCTTTTGCTTTCCGCTCTCCATCCTCTTTCAGCTTCCAAGTAAGAAGCCATCGCATGCCGATGGCTTGTGACCGATCAGGTTTCAGTTCAGGCGGTAGAGCCTCGAATGCCTTTGCTGCCACAAAGTTCCGTACCTCTGCCTCTTTGGCCTCTTGAAACTGCTGTCGTTCTGATGGTGTCAAATGTTTCTCGTGCACTTCAACTGCTCGGCGCTTGAGTGCGCCCACAAAGAAGGTTTCAAAATCCGACACAGCCTTTAGAAGGCCTCGGTGTGACTCCGGCAGGGGTACCTCAATGGTGACTGCTGCATGTTGTTGATCCCAGAAACCGGAACCTTCTGTGTTCTCAGGCAATGGTTCTTCCAAGAAATTCCACCAAGCAGTTTGTTGTGTTTCTGTGACATGTGCCGTTGCTGATCCGCTGGACCGTGAGGATTTTGATGGTGTAGGTTGAATGTGGGTTGGTGATTGTCTCGGTGTAGGTGGTCTCTTGGTGCTATGTCTCCGAGGACCTGGCTCAACAACCATCGGATCTTGAGCTGCTTCCCAATCTTCTTGTTCTGGAACATCCATAGAGACATCTTCATATTCATTGCCTCCCAGTTCTTGAGTGATTCTTGGAAAAGTCCATGGTGCTTCAGGTTCACCCTCTCCCAAATGTTCTAGGAGTTCTTCTCGTTTTGACGCGGGTCTCAGTTGCTCCACGCAGCACTTGATGACTCGACGACCCCTCACGCACCAGATGGCACTACCTTTCCGTAGAGCTCCATTGGGATCCCGCTTGGACTCAGTTGCTAAAATGCGAGCTGGGCCTAAGAATTTTCCGTTCTTGTTGGCTGGCTCACCTTTGATCTGCTTTCTCCAGTAGTAAATCAAATCACCAGGTCTGTAGTCCATGAGACGTTGGCCTCTTGAGTTCAAGGCTTTTGTCACCTTTTGTTGTGCCTGCCATTCAGAAAGGGCTTGCTCAGCATGTTTCATTCTTTCCACATTCCGTTTGAATTCCCCATTTGGGTTTTCCAGTAAAACTTCAGGAAGAGGACTGCACAAACTGTGGATGAAACGACCTGTTTCGTCCGGGGCTCGCCCTAAGGCGTGTTGTATAGGTGAGTAGCCCCTCACCAACTCTCGATTGTTGAAAACCCTCACAGACTCAGCTAAAGCTTCTTCCGCTGTCATGGTTGGGTCCAAGATCACCAGTTTCTCCATCAAGACCTTAAGGCCTTGCACAGCTTGTTCACATGTTCCTATAAACCAGTGGGCTTCGCCCGGTATGACATCTAAAAAAATAGAATTGTCATCGCAAAAACGCTCGAGTTCTTGGCTGCGGAATGCCCCGGCTGGGTCAAGTCGGAGTGTGTTGGGACAACCAAAGTATTGCATCCAACCCTCCCGGAAATATTGAATAAAATGTCCAGCACTCATGGTTTGTTTCTTCCCTTGTTTGAGAATTCTGGCAATTCGAAAACGGGACCCTTCATCAATAATACACGCAAATTCATATTCCTCTTGAGTTTGGGGGTGCACAAACTTGCCTCCATCCGCAGACACCACCGAAAACTTTGGGGGAAGAGGTTCAATTGAAGCAACATGTTTGGAATTAATTCTTTGTTTCTCATGACAAACCGAGCAAGTAAACCGTTTGGCAGCCTCAATCACCTCAGGGCTTGCCTTGCGTCTTTCAAGAGCATGAACCATATTGCGAACACTTCCATGACCAGTAGCAGCATGTAACAAATAAAGTTTCTTATCAATTTCTTCGGGGGTCATTTTCCCAACAAAATGTTGCACATGAGCATGTTCATCAACCACATGAGAACCAACATCTAAAATAGTGTTGTTTTCCTCCATGTAACATGCCCCACACTGAAAATCACTCCCATGTTCCCTCAGGTGATCACACACACAAACCGGCCCTTCCCCAAACATTTGTGGTAAAACCGTGCGACCGGAAAGTTCCTCCATCAACAAATTGTGGGACATTTCTTGTGTCATACATTGGGCCACCCGTTTCACGAAATCCATGGTGTAATAGGCAGTCAATCCCGTTAAACTCCCCTCACATTTGGCATGGGAATATCCTTTCGGGCACAAACAGGGCATGTTCATGGTCTCCGCAAGTTTCCGGCTCGTGCTCATGATCTTCCAGCCCTTTTTGAGGAGATTTTGGGTTTTGTGGTCCCGAAGCCCAACACGACAACCCTGGGTGGTTCCAAAATAAGGGTCATATTTGGCAATCAACTTTTGCATGAACGGCAACCTCCAACCCTGACAATATTGTGACCACTCCCAAGAAACGTGTATTCCCCTTTGCACACAGTGTTGGTAGATGCAGCTGGCACCAATGTACTGTTTCAACGCAGCTCGGCGTTTGTCCTGCAAGGCCTGAACCTGGGCTTCTGTTTTTTGATTAATCGCCTGCATAGGCGAATATGGTCCACAGTCCGGGGAGATCCAAACATGACTAGGTTTGCGACACTCAATCACATCAATGATTTTCTTCACCCCGGCAGAAGTCCCTAAGTCACAGCCATTCCAGTGGGAACATCTTACAGCAGCATCTTCGGAACCCAAAAGTCTTTGAATTTCAGCACTCAAACGGCTTTCAGGGCTACACGCAACCTCAACCAGAACCGTCTCCCCCCTAGAAACCAAACCCTGAAAAGCTTGGGGGGCCATGTCAAAAGATTGCTTCTCCAAAAACCTGGCCATTGAGTCTGAAGTTCTGTCAGTGATCGGCTGATCAGCCTCATTCAAATCTACCGCGACTTCCTGTGCCTCAGTAGAAGTAGCACAGGCCCTTGAAGGATCGCAGCTCATAGTTTCTCCTCGCGAGGAGTGAGCACACCACCCGTGGCCTTCTTGTGGGGCTTCTCCTCCTTGAGGTGTTCCACTTCTTCTTTCAGGCTCTCGATGGTGTGCATCATGGTTGTCATCATGGCAATGGCCTGGGATGACATGGTGCTGGCAGCCGATGGGCTGTGACTGCGATTGGAAGGAGCTTTGCTTTTCCGAGGGCCAACCTTTGGCACTGGCTTCTTTGGGCCAGCAGTGGCCTCCATCTCCAGCCATCTGGCAAGGCGACTCAGGCGGTAATTGCATCCACCTTCCGCTGCCGTAGTCACTACCCACTTGCAGTACTCCGACTGAGCCAGACGAATTTCGTCGTAGGTCAGGCTGGCGTGGGCTCCAAATCCCACGCCATCGGAGGGATGTGGCTTGGCAATCATGTAGATCTTCTCCAGTCCGGCCCGCTTCAGCTGGTCGATGGTCTCGCAGCCAGTGATCTTGAGGCCCAAAGAGTCCTGGCAAAATGCCTGGAGGTAGGCCTTCTTGGTGGCGGCCTTGTTGAGCTTGATGGTCCACTCCTGCAGTTCGGTCTTGACCCGAAGGGTCTTGTTGTCCAGCCCATGTTCCTCCTTGAGCTCGGCTAGGCGTGTTTTGAGTTCCACCATCGTCCAACTGGAGGGAGGCGTCTCTCCCAGGGACTCGATGGCTTCGATGAGCTCGATTTTGGTGGGCGCTTTCGACATGGTCGCTGATCGGTGGATCACAAAGAGGATCACGTTGCGAATCTCCTCTAGCTTGAGCTGTTGCGCTGCTGCTGTCATGCTGCAGTTGCTGTGGTTTCTCAGAAGGAAAAAGACTGTGAGACATCAAAAGACCATGATTGTTTCCCAATTGACAACTACCCGTGACATCCGGATGTTTGGCACCAACAACAACACCTTCACCATCATCAAAAACAATGTTTTTATCACAAGTTTGAACACCACCAATTGAAAAAGTTTCCGCTACTTCAGCCTGAACTTGATTGTTGACCTTCCTTTCCACTTCAGGCAAAATGTCAGGAAGGAGCTGTCCCTAGGAGCTACCTACAAACTCTCGCAAGCTGGGAACCCTCTGATGACACGCTACCGCATCTCTGTACAGATCATCCGTCAAAGGCAGCAGCTGGTGGCCAGCCTGAGATCGTGTGGCCTGTATGGCCTTCTTGTCATCGAGAGCTCGAAAAACAATCAAATCAGACTCGAAATCGATCACTGCTTTCAGTGCTCGAAGTGTGGAAATCGAGAGCAGTACTGGTCCTTGTCCTCGATCCAGAGCGTGTACTTGAAGCACACCTGGCTTGGAGTCAGCATAGATCTTCATCTTGGCAGTGCTGACGCAAGTATCCACACTGCTGTTGCCAAAACCAAACTTCGGGGTGTTCTGACAATCCACCTCCAGGACACCTCCATCTTGACGCTTCTTGAAGTTCTCCGAGGCAATGGCTTCAAGTGCATAGGTGGACCCAATGGTTCGTGTGGCCCCACCATCAACAATGCCATAGCCCGCAGTCACAGCTTGCTCTGTGGTCATGAGAGGTGCTGGAGCTTCATCACAAGACATGGCCTGATAGGCCTCAGAAGTGCCCTGAGTGAAGCAGACAAAAGGTGCTGCCTCATCTGTCATCTGAGCTGAGGAACCGCTAGGAGCCTGACGGTCTGGGCAATCTCGAACTCGGTGAGGACCTCCGCATCGGAAGCATGCCATGCCCTGCTTCTTGTCAGCCGTCTTGGTCTCATAGGTCTTGGTCTTATAGTATTGGCGGTTCATCCGCACCTGGTGTTGTTTGGCTCGTGCTTCTTTCAAGGTGCGCTTGCCCTGCTGAATGAGAGCCAAGGCTTCCTCAGCCTCTTCGACGGCCTGAGTGACCAAAGCCAAACCCTCATCATTCATGCCTTCATTCACCAAGGCATTGGCTGACATGTGGTTGGGCTCATCATCGTCGCTGAAGGCATCATCATGCCAAAAGCCACTGTGCTTCTGGTTGTTGTCCCGCTGGACCAAGTCGTCCTCGGGCCACTGGGTTCGCAGCTCTTGAGCAATCCGCAGGAGACTGAAGTCACCAGCCACCGCGGTCTGGATCATGTTCTTTTCCTGGCTAGTCAAACCTGAGTCAGCCAAGAGATACCATCCTTGTAAGAAATCAGGTAGGAGTTCAGGAGTTTGAAGGGTCCAATCCTCATCTTCGGGGTGGTAGGACCTGGTGTAGGACGATCCCCACTCACTCCCACTTCTTCCATCACGTGACTCCCGTCCTCCATCATGTCCCTCAGTGTTCTGGTCCTGACCCTCTGTTGGTTCACTGGCTTCTTGACCTGGTTCTCCGAGAGACTCATCTCCACCTTCATAGCTCTGTCGTGAAGACCATGTCCCCCAATGCCATGACTGGTACCCCCCGCCTCGACCCCATTGATCATGCCGATCTTGACGTCGATCAAAAGCTTCCTGCACACGAGCTAAGGCCTGGCGAGCTCTGGCATAGGTTTCGGTTTTTCTCACTATGTAGGTGTTCATGGTCTCATGTTTCTGTCTCTTGCTTTGTCTGAAGTACCTGTTCAAGTGCTCTGAGAGTTCTGGTATTTGCGGTCGTCCCAGGTGCCTTCGAAGGTGGCCTAAAAAGTAGGCAACGCCTCCGTTGTAGGAGACCCAATCCGGCTTCTTTCCAACCACAAATTTTCTAGCCGTCCTCCCCAGTTCAGCTATCAAACGTGGTGCGCACAGGTACCTCTTGTGGTGTGCTATGGACTGCTCCCATTGAAGACACATGTCCTCGTACTCCTGGAACTGCGAAGCATCGCCATTCCACCGCGGAACCCCGTCTTTGCTTCTCATCACACTGGAACTCATCCTTCCACTTGTGTTCCAGGGGGGCCTAGCGCCCCTGGCTGTTCAACGTATTTTTAAGCCTCGTCAGGCTCCGCTACCATCCAAGTGTGGATGGTCCCAGAGGTAGCTAGCTGCAATGCCCAAGTGTCAGCACAGCGGAATCAAATGAAGATGGCAAAACAAAGAGGTGGCTATGCAACCTCGCTCAAAACCTTTTTCCTTGACCCCAAATGCAAACTGTCGTAGGCACGATGAAATCCGTGTGTTCGACTCAATTGAATGGACATGACAATTGCACTATATATATATATATATACACATAAGTACTATATATATATATATATATATTATACATGATTGCTATAATATATATATATATATTATTAAGTATATATATATATGGTTTAAATGGCGGTTTATAGCTGGAAAACTCATATCGATTTCATTGGAGCATTCTCCAGCCATGTCCGGTACAATCTCTGTCATTCCATAGAAATTCTGCTTGGTGAAGAATGGGATTCCCAGTGAAAAAAGAGGATGTTCCATAATTACATTGGGGATTCATGGGGATTCCATAAAATTCTGGTTGGTTATGAATGATGATATCATGATATCGATGATAATCCAATATAATTAATCCATATTAATCCCCGATCTATTGGATTGTACCACCCCTTTTCTATCATCTGAGACTGAGAAACACTGCTCATCTGAAAGCAAGTCCTCTTTCGCTGGCCTCTTTCGCAAAGTGTCCATATCCACGCTACCAGATAAACCCGCCAGGAGGAGGAAAAGTAGCGCCTCAACGGCGAAAACCAAGGGTTGGTAAATGTCCAAATCAAACATCACACAACTATTGGGGATGTGATATGGGGATGGGTCAAAACCTATTAGTATAAATTTTAATGGGATGAACATCCATTTACCAGCTGTTTTGTGGTTCACTAGGTACCAGGGTTATGACTCATAGCCATATAATCTCCAACAAGTACTTGAAAGTGATGTTCAGAATCCCCAAAATGGGACATGTACCAACCCCTAATTAAAACTGCCAAGCGGCTCTGAAATGCCCATGTGCTACGGATAGTTGGCCCATCCTTCCCTGCTTACCTCTTCCAAAATCTGTCGCCAGATATGCCAAGGCTGAAGTCATCATCCCAACGACTGCTAACAAAAATCAACACCGTTCGACCAAGGTAGCGGTGAGTGTCCAATCCCGATCTATCTCCACACCCACCATATGCCCTTTGCCCATAACCATCCATAACCTATCCTCTCACGAACTAGCGTATCAGGGACACAACCCGTCCAATAAATATCAATCAAGTGATATTCAGTTTCATTCGGATATCCTGAAAGCTTGAAATAACTTCAACCACCAACCAGTACTTGATTTGTGGCTGGGCTCCTGTCCTGGGAGTCCATCAACACATCTCCAACATCCAGTTGGACTTAAGAGGACTGAAGATTACCCAAACAGCTGTGAAACCCCTGCAGGTACCCAGTGGCTAAAAAGCCCAAACTATCCACACTCTACAGAAAAAGTATAGGTACTGGCTACATGACCCCATTGTTCAAGGTACAAACGCAGCATCGTTCGAGGTGTAAAAACGAGTCAAATAAAGTCTGGACTCATGAATGTCTTGACATTCATGTCATACAAACGCATTAATTAATATTATAATAAAACTCTGCCCACACAAGGCCCCCCCCACGTTTCCGCCTGCGCGGCAATGGAAAAAACCAGTTTCATGTTCCTGACGTCCTGCGACGGATGCGATGGATCTTTGGGTGAAACATGGTCAGTTACTGCCCATCCCATCACCGTCCTGAAGAAAACAGGCACGGGACGACTCGGCTTGATCCGAGGCCCGTGGCCCGACTTAGGCCCGACTTAGGCGTGAGCATACTGAGCCAAGAGGCCAGGAGTGGTGCCAAGCTTTTGTTGCCGGAATTTTGCTGTTAGATGATATAGTTATTTGATGATCTTTAAGTTGTTTTAATAAATTGATTGCACTAATCAACTGGATCCAACTGGTATATCATATCACCTGTACACTTTGCTAGCGGATTTCTCGCCAACCAGCCACAAATCAACCAAGTAACCAAGGATCGATTTGAGGCCTTTGGCCATTGGCCCTGACCCAGCTATCAAATAGATATGCCTCCAATAAAACCTTCCAAGTCAAACTTTCCTTGAATCCCCTTGATTTCAAGCCAACTCCAACCTGTTAGTTCTGTGACTCTCCGGACTGTCCCGGCTTTTGTTCACCGGCTCTTCATCGCAGAAATGTGATCACATCAATCAAGGGCATTGAACTACAGGCTGGCGAGGAAACTGTAGATTATCTGGTCTCAAGTCAACTGGACGCTGAGATGTTGACTCCGGCCGACACAGATTCACAAATAAGCTCTGAACATGTCACAGTTTCAAATTTTCAAGATTCTGCAAATCTGTTCATATGCATTGCAATTTGGATTTGTCCAAAAGTAGGGTACTCCCAAATCAACTGATTCAGGGTATGCCCTATTTTCACACAGACTCATTTGCACATTGTTCCATGGCATGTTTTGTCTCCACACGCCGGAGACAGGCCGGATTGAGCAGACGCCCAAGTTGCGAGCTTTGCGTTTGAGACCGGACTCTCTCGCCTGCCGCTGAAGCTTTGTTCAAAGTGCGGTAAACTTCAACGGCGGGGCCTCTGCCTAGGGCCGTTGGGGCCGTTGGGGCCGTTGGGGTCGGGAGGAGCTTGGACGAAAACGACGAAAACAAACATGGCTGGGAAATCTTCAAACTGAATGATCAAATTTAGATGGGAACATCATCGAACATCAAAAAAAAATGGTGGATTCATGTTTGATTACCAAAGGGTACAACAAAACATGTATCCAAGAAATCTATCCCAATTGACCGGAAGGCACGAGGCGATCATTCTCCCGGATACATCTGCAGGATTCTGCAGGATTCTGCAGGACTCTTTGAGACCAAAATAACTCTTTGATCTGCTTGGTGATTTCAACCCCTAAGAAAAATACTAGTCAGTTGGGATGATTATTCCCGATATATGGAAAAATAAAAGCCATGTTCCAAACCACCAACCAGTGATATATTAGGACCTTATTAGGACCTTAGGACCTTCATCCCCGCGGAAAATAGGTTCCCATGGTCCCATGGCCCATCCTGAGCCACCAGGCTTGTCATAGATCTCACAGCAGTGAGCGAAGGCGCGGGCCAGGTAAGGCCCTTCACATTCATTGTGGAACTTTAAACTCAGCCTCAGGGGCGAAGCAAAGATATCGACTGCCCTAGGGTGATTCGAAGATAAGTCTGGTGGAACCTCTTGATCTTCAGTTGAAACATCTTGGAAGTGATGGCCAGGATTTTAGCATCAGAAAAGCGAAACAGCGGTCACTTGAAATCATGTATCAATGCGTCATAGTCATATAATGTCATATATATATATACATAATTCTATATATATATGTGGGTCCACCTGTTATTTGCATTCAACACATCCGATGGGAGTGGTTATACTAAAGGTATGCAACATCATCTGTCACTTAAGGTGTTTTTTGCCGAGCAAGCTGGACATTAGCTGAATTTTAACGAGGATATCAGTCTGAAAGCCTTTTGAGGTATCAACTGAGGTAAAGGGTGGATTTTTTGTCCGAACTAGGACCAGGGTCGCATCATCCAAAACGAAGTAAGTAAACATTCTGTTTGTATTTTTTCAAGTTGGAACCTAGGGGCAGGCCAAAACTGATTGAGCTAACCCAGTAAGTACTCAGTGTCAACTCGTCAGCAAACCTTCGGTCTGTTTCAGAGCTTGGAAACCCTACTGAGAACCCACCAACGTGTGTTGAATATGTGTTCTTAATTATTCGTTAGAGCCTAGCACCTTGTATAGTTTTGTTTTTTTTCCCCCTGGCATACTATCAAACTGCAACAATACATATATGACTCAAAGCCGCAAAGCCGTAGCCCAACATCTACCCCAATATCGGACGATTCACTTCTGGAAATGATCCCCGTTCTTGTTGATCATTGATCATCACTTTTCCTGGTTGGTGGTTTCAACCCTCTGAAAAATATTAGTCAGTTGGGATTATTCTTCCCAATATATGGAAAAATAAAAAAATGTTCCAAACCACCAACCAGTTTCCCTGATTTTATGGCCACAGAATGGGAGAAAATACAGGCGTGCCAAGCGACGTTTGCACCGGGTCAACGTCTCCACACGGTCCACCCTGAAGGGATGCGAACAGAACCATAGGAAGTGTTTGTGTGGGATTTTAACCAATATTAATGCTGATTAATGGTGATTTAGATGGTGATTAATGCTGATTAATAGTGATTTATATACTTGGTATATACTTGGTAAATGGGATTATTTATGTGTCTATATATTTTTACTTATTTACTACATGGGTTCTATAAATGGAAATTACTTTACTTCGAGTTATCCCCACCATGACATCTATACGTTTTGTTACTGGCAAATCTTCTGGCATTCTATCTGACATATCTTCTGGCATTTTATCTGGCATATCTTCTGCAATATGTTCTGGCATATCTTCTGGCACTCTATCTGGCATATCTTCTGGCATATCTTCTGACATTCTATCTGGCATTCTATCTGGCAAATCTTCTGGCATATGTTCTGGCAAACATTCTGGCACTTTATCTAGCATACCTTCTGGCATACCTTCTGGCATTCTATCTGGCATTCTATCTGGCATACCTTCTGGCATTCTATCTGGCATACCTTCTGGCATTCTATCTGGCATCCTATCTGGCAAACCTTCTGGCATTCTATCTGGCATATCTTCTGGCATTTTATCTGGCATATCTTCTGGCATTCTATCTGGCATGCTATCTGGCGTTCTATCTGGCATATCTTCTGGCATTCTATCTGGCCGTTGAGGTCCAGCGGTGCTCACTGAGCTCGGAGGGTCCCAGGTTGAGGTCCAGCCGTGCTCACTGAGCTCGGAGGGTCCCAGGTGGAGGTCCAGCGGTGCTCACTGAGCTCGGAAGGTCCCAGGTTGAGGTCCAGCGGTGCCCGCTGCGCTCAGACCCTTGCAGTTGAGGTCCAGCAGTGGCCACTGCGTGCGGAAGTTGGCGAAGAGCTTGGCGAAGAGTTGGCAAGGCGGAAGTGGACATGGAAGTGAAGGCAGGGGTGGTGGAGGAGAACGAGGAGGAGGAGAAGAAGGAGGAGGAGGAGAAGGAGAAGAACAACTCTGATAAAATCTAACAACCCTCACCTGGCAGGTGGGGAAAAAATGAAATATATTGGGATAGATAATTGCTTTGGTGGTATAATACTTGAATGGTTATTGGGACTATTCGAGATTGGGATGGTTTTATCAAAATTTATCGCCCTAATCCCACTACGTGATGTAATGGCAAACCAATGGGGACATCATGTTTTAAAACTAACCAACCATAATTAAGTTCCTTCCCGCTTCCCCCCAATATGTTTTTTTCCCGTGAAACCCTTGGTGAAATGGATCTATTCATGAATTGGCGGGGACCATATTAGGGGGTAGGGATTGCCAGACCCTCTGGTAATCTGATATAATACAGGCATGGAAAATGGTCATCGAAATACTTGTACGTCAAAATAAGAGGTTAGGCTATATCTCATCTGCAAACGGATATATAATTTTCCATGGCTATGTTAAATTAGCAAAGTGTATATCCAGCACACGGAAAGACATATTATAATTAACATAGAGAACACGATAAGCCAGGGATTCTAGTTTTCTGCGCTTTGTTTTTTTGGGTGATTGGATTTCCAAGCATTGAGTCCCCATTGTCGATTCTGTTGCAAATTCAATCGTCAGTGAGTCCAATGTTTAGTTTTCACTGCAGCTCTATTGAAACGTACAACTTGAGTTTGCTGCAAATCACCGCAAGACCCTTGGCTAAAATATATTTTTCATGAAAGCCCGCGCTGGCTGGCTTCAACCCCGAATACTTGTGAATTGAGATCGTCCATCCAGTGATTCCAGGTAGGCCGGAATATCATGGAAAATCAAACAGAAACCACCAATGAACCAGTCGTTGGTGTCTTGGTGGATGTATCATGGAAGTCAGCTGAACCTTGGCCGCTTCAGAATTGTCCTACCTTGTCCTAGGCACTCTCCACGTGTCACAAACGCGAATCTGTATGTATCTGTCTGAATCGGACATCCTGCGGTACCCCACATATCCATAGATAGCCTGATAATTCGATGGGTTCAAGTATACTCACAACATTACTCACAACATCTAACAACAGACTGAGTAGTCAATCTTTCAGACGGTCTGAACATGTTGCCCTAGGTCATCCTAAGCCAACCTGGGCCCAACTTTGGGAAGTCAGCACTGCGGCAGAAGGGCGGGAGCGAAGTCAGCTTTGTTGGCTTTGAGCGATGACATCAACTCCTGGCCGGTCGGCTCTAGCAGCACTACAATACGTTACTGATGAATTCATCTGTGCCATGGTCAAATTACAGAGGATTAATGGATATGGTCATTCCACCTTCATGAGAATCCAGCATAATGGACACATAACCTATATAATATGTATATATATATATATATGTATATACACGTGTATACACCCGTATCATTGATAGGGGCATCCCCCAAATATTCGTATGGAATTCAACGTTTCACCATGGCACATACATACATCCATGCATGCATTGCATTGCATTGCATTGCATTACAATATATTACATACATTACATATATATCCCATGATGAACAATACCAGTGTCAATTTCTAATGGGGGTGCTAATCACAGCTGAATCTGACTGAGTCCTTGTGAGGCAAAAGGCAGAAATGTGATCTCAGCATGAGTAGCTAATCTTCCACGTTTATGCAGAGTTTGATTGGTAGAGTAGACATTGAGCCAGGTCAAGCTCTCTGAACTATTTAAGCAGCTAGGCAATCTAGGTGCCAGGTTTTAATTCCTTAGAATCTGAGAGTGCACAACCTGGGTTCGAACCAGGTCTAAGCACTGCTATCACCGCAGAACTTTTCTGCCCTACCCGTCAGAATGATTTCATGCTAATGCTATTGGATCTCCCAATCCTCCGGAACCTCAAAATCCTAAAAACTGGACACTCGCGCTATTCGACTGCTCATGTCAGGGGTTCATTGTCGTAAACCATAGGATCTGCTTTTTGTCTTCAAGGGAACCAGCACAACACACAACGTCGGCCCATTGGAAGTCCTCCTTGAAGCAAGCGGTGCCCCAACCTCAATTTCTGCATGTTATGCTGATCAAATTTTTGCCACGAACTGCCGTAAGAGGTGATGGATCTGCCTTAACGGTTTGCATGGGATTATAAAAAATTAGGTTTGCCACGCAATGTCTGCTATAAATGTTGCCCAACATTTCTTTGAGAATGACGGAAACCACATGTGTGCTGAAACTCTCTCTCCGTCCCCCAGCATGTTTCGTGGTCAAGTCCCGACGTTTTATTGGGTCAATGTTGAACAGTGGTTATATTACAACTGTTTCCGTTACCATGTTCTTTGGTCAAATTTCAATTTTTATTGATCAACGTTGATTCTTCAAAATTGTCCAATGTTGATTTTTGATGGGTGAAATCTCCATTTCAGTTGCTTACTATTGTTATATAACATCTTCTTACCGGTCAATGTTGATTGGTTGTATCCCCATTTCACTTACTTAAGCTTCCATTCTAATTGGTCAAATGTCGCGTTGTGTTGCTTGAGTCCACCATGCGCTTGGAGAATGGAAACCGACCTTCACGGAACCCTAAATCAATGGGTTGATCTAAGGGGGCAACTACAATCTACACCGGCAACTGCCTGTTTTGTGCGGGTGTAGATTTTCTTGGATTTTTCCCGAATGCGGAGCGAAGGGTTCCCGTTTATAGTCTGGGGGGTCTGGGGGCTGGACCCTTGTTCGCCTCGAGTTGCTCGTCGGGTCGCCGTCGCGTCGTCGTCGGGTCGGCATGGCGTCGTTAGTTCCGTGTCTATGGGGGAAGCTGCAAAACCTCTCCTTTTCGAAGGTTTCCAAGCAGGTTGTCATGTCGTTTTGCGTGACAGGCATGGCACTTTGTGACATTCCAGCCTGTTTGCTAACGTGCCGAAAGTGTCAAAGTTGGCCGATGTCTCGCACGAACTGCTCGTTTTGCTGCGCCCACGTGTCTCGTCTCAAGTCTCTGGTTTTCTAGACACGTCGCCGTGTCTATGGGGGAAGCTGCAAATCCTCTCCTTTTCAAAGGTTTCCAAGCAGGTTGTCATGTCGTTTTGCGTGGCAGGCGTGGCACTTTGTGACATTCCAGCCTGTTTGCTAACGTGCCGAAAGTGTCAAAGTTGGCCGATGTCTCGCACGAACTGCTCGTTTTGCTGCGCCCACGTGTCTCGTCTCAAGTCTCTGGTTTTCTAGACACGTCGCCGTGTCTATGGGGGAAGCTGCAAAACCTCTCCTTTTCGAAGGTTTCCAAGCAGGTTGTCATGTCGTTTTGCGTGACAGGCATGGCACTTTGTGACATTCCAGCCTGTTTGCTGACGTGCCGAAAGTGTCAAAGTTGGCCGATGTCTCGCACGAACTGCTCGTTTTGCTGCGCCCACGTGTCTCGTCTCAAGTCTCTGGTTTTCTAGACACGTCGCCGTGTCTATGGGGGAAGCTGCAAATCCTCTCCTTTTCAAAGGTTTCCAAGCAGGTTGTCATGTCGTTTTGCGTGGCAGGCGTGGCACTTTGTGACATTCCAGCCTGTTTGATAACGTGTTGAAAGTGTCAAAATTGGAGGATGTCTCGCACGAAATGCTCGTTTTCTTGCGCCCACGTGTCTCGTCTCGAGTTTCTGGTTTTCCTATGGCGTCGCCGTGTCTATAGGGGAAGCTGCAAGCTTTGTGCAAGCTTTGTAGTACAAAGTAGTATTGGGAAAGACTTTGTGCAAGCTTTGTAGTACAAGCTTTGTAGTACAAACTAGTACTACGAAGTGCTTTGCGCAAGCTTTGTAGTACAAAGTAATGATGGAACGTGCTTTGTGCAAGCTTTGTAGTACAAAGTAATGCTGGGAAGTAGTTTGTGCAAACTTAGTAGTACAAAGTAGTACTGGGAAGTGTTTTGTGCAAGCTTTGTAGTACAAAGTAGTACTTGGAAGCGCTTTGTGCAAGCTTTGTAGTACAAAGTAGTACTGGGAAGTGCTTTGTGCAAGCTTTGTAGTACACAGCAGTACTGGGAAGTGCTTTGTGCAAGCTTTGTAGTACAAAGTAGTACTGGGAAGGACTTTGTGCAAGCTTAGTAGTACACAATAGTACTGGGAAGTGCTTTGTGCAAGCTTTGTGCAAGCTTGGTAATACAAAGTAGTACTGGGAAGTGCTTTGTGCAAGCTTTTGTAGTACAAAGTAGTACTGGGAAGTAGTTTGTGCAAGCTTTGTAGTACAAAGTAGTACTGGGAACGCCTTTGTGCAAGTTTTGTAGTACAAAGTAGTCTTTGTACAAGCTTTGTAGTACAAAGTAGTACTGGGAAGTGCTTTGTGCAAGCTTTGTAGTACAAAGTAGTACTCGGAAGTGCTTTGTGCAAGCTTTCTAGTACAAAGTAGTACTGGGAAGTGCTTTGTGCAAGCTTTGTAGGCCTTTGTGCAAGCTTTGCAGTACAAAGTAGTACTGGGAAGTGTTTTGTGCAAGCGTGGTAGTACAAAGTAGTACTGGGAAGTGCTTTGTGCAAGCTTTGTAGTACACAGTAGTACTGGGAATGCCTTTGTGCAAGCTTTGTAGTACAAAGTAGTACTGGGAACGCCTTTGTGCAAGCTTTGTGGTACAAAGTAGTAATGGGAAGTAGTTTGTGCAAGCTTTGTAGTACAACGTAGTACTGGGAACGCCTTTGTGCAAGCTTTGTAGTACAAAGTAGTACTGGGAAGTACTTTGTGCAAGCTTTGTAGTACAAGTTTTGTAGTACAAAGTAGTACTACGAAGTCCTTTGTGCAAGCTTTGTAGTACAAAGTAGTACTGGGAACGCCTTTGTGCAAGCTTTGTGGTACACAGTAGTACTGGGAAGTGCTTTGTGCAAGTTTTGTGGTACAAAGTAGTACTGGGAAGTGCTTTGTGCAAGCTTTGTGGTACAAAGTAGTACTGGGAAGTATTTTGTGCAATCTTTGTAGTCCAAAATAGTACTGGGACGTCTTACACTTTACACTCTACACTCCACACTCCACACTCTACACTTTACACACTCCACACTCCCCACTCCACACTTTACACTCCACACTCTACACTTTCCACTCCACACTGCAGACTGGTAACAGGGGAAATATGTACGGTCTTCAAGCGATGTTTTCCATGCGTGTCTTTGTGCGTTAGTTGTCTTTTGTGAACTGTTGATCAGGTGCCTTCGCTGAGACGATATGCGCGCACGATGCATGGAGAAAAAAGGTTCGTTTTCCTGTTACAGAGGTTTTCACTCGTAGTCAAAGCACGTGAATACATTCGAGTTCGTGGCTTCCATCTTGTTTTTTGCCTCAGGTTTTGGATTTTTTGTTGGCTTTTTTTCCCGGTACCATTTGCCTTGTATTTGCAACAGTTTGGAACTAGAACCTGTCATTTTGCATGGTATTTGCAACATTTTGGCATGGTCACTTTGCATTTTGCATGGTATTTGCATGTATTTGCTACATTTGGCCATGTTTGCCTTCCATTTTGCATGGTATTTGTCACATGTTGGCATTTCAACCTCTCATTTGCATGGTATTTGCTACATTTTGGTGCTTCAAACGTTCATGTGGGTCCCTTCAAGGTTCTTTAGGCTTTCATTTAGGGTTTCATTTAAGGTTTCATTAAGGGTTTCATGTATGGTTTTATTTAGGGTTTCATTTGGGGTTTCATTTAAGGTTTCATTTAGGGTTTCATTTGGGGTTTCATTTAGGGTTCATTTAGGGTTTCATTTAGGGTTTCTTTACGGTTTCATTTAGGGTTCCATTTAGGGTTTCTTTAGGGTTCGGGTTTCTTTAGAGTTGCATTTAGGGTTTTTTCTGGTTTCATGTAGGGTCTCATATCAGGATTTCTTTTTCTTATCAGGAGTTCAAAACGTTCAAATGGGTTTCTTTAGGTCTTCTTTAGGGTTTCATTTAGGGTTTCTTTAGGGTTTCGTTTAGGGTTTCATTTAGGGTTTCATTGAGGGTTTCTTTAGGGCTTCTCCAGTGTTTTATTTAGGGTTTCATTTAGGGTTTCTTTAGGGTTTCATTTAAGCTTTCTTTTGGGTTTCATTCCAGGGTTTCTTATCAGGATTTCTTTTCACGATTTCTAAACGTTCAAGTGGGTTCCTTTAGGGTTCCTTTAGGGTTTCATTTAGGGTGTCATTTAGGGTTTCTTCAGGGTTTCTTTACGGTCTCATTTAGGGTTTCATTTAGGGCTTCAATTTAGGGTTTCATTTAGGGTTTCTTTAGGATGTCAATTTAGGGTTTCAGCTAAGGTGTCAGTTAAGTATTCATTTAGTTTTTTTAGAGTGTTGTTTAGAGTTTCTTTGGGATGTCATTTAGGATGTCATTTAAGGTTTCTTTAGGGTTTCATTTATGGTTTCTTTAGGATTAATTTATGGTTTCTTTAGGGTTCATTTATGGTTTCTTTAGAGTTCATTTAGGTTTTCATGTAGGGGTTCTTTGGGTTTCGCCTAGGGTCTCTGTAGGGTTTCATTTAGGATATAAACAGACCAGAATAAAGCAAAAGAAAATGAAAAACAACGAGACAGCAAAAACAGGAAGCAAAGAAGCAAAGGAGCAGGAAGTAGAGCAGCAAAACACATGACTGAAGAAAAGAACAGGTAGAATAAGAAGTAGAAAGGCACAGAAGTACAAAAGCAGAGAAACAGGAAAAACAGAGAAGCAGAAAAGCAAAGAAGCAGGAAAATCAAAAAGCAGAAAAGCAGGAAAAGCAGAGGCGCAGAAAAGCAGTGAAGCAGAGAAGCAGAAATTCAGAAAATCAGAGAAACAGGAAAGCATAGAACCAGGAACCCAAAAAAAATCCAAAACCTGCCGCGAAAAAAAAAAAGAAAAAACCCTCCGTTTTGTACTCCCTTAAATTGTTTGGGTCCTGCCGATTTTTGCCTTGAACATCCTTGAACCAATTCCAGGGCAAAAAAATGGTTTGTCTGAAAATAGCGTGCCCTCCATTGCAATTGATTATCATCGTGTTCCCTCTGAAAAAAAAATGGCTATTTGTGGGTATACCCTAGTTTCAGACACATCCACTTTCAAAGTTTCATTGGTTAAGCCCCGTTGATGGTTACATCCCTATTGATGGTGCCACTCCCATGTTCTCACCACCATATCGTCGACCAATGTCGACCATAGGTTTCGCTGTTTCCAGTCCCATTCAGACACACCCAGTTTTCCATTAGTCATTGGACAAAGACCTAATTTTCCAGGGGGACATAGGGGGACCCTATCTTATCCGATTTAATTTTTCTATGGTAAAACCATACTTTGATATTTACATTGGATCATACCCACCAGTGCGAAGAGCAAACAACTCGCCGGGACTCCCCCCAATTCCACCCCAATTCCAATGGATTATCCTACTTTTCCTATGAACATGATTGGAAATGGCTGTTTTGTGGGTATCCCCCTCAAAGAAACCCAATCAACCACCACGGTGGCGAACTCGATCAAGCAACTCATCCTGGATCCAGCACCAGCATCAGCTTGGTGTTGGGCCCTGGGAAGCACCGCAATGTTTTGTTTTTTAAACATGTCTTGGAAAGAAGACAACTACTTGTAGGATTCCTTGAACAGATTTGTCTTCTGTTCAGAGATGTGTTTTGTTGATGATAAATTTAGTTCAAATCCAGAAGAAATCACCTGCTGAGCTCGAGAACCCCTCGAGCCACCCCATGGTATCCCCCCTTTCAGCCTGCCATCCTTCTTCGCACCTGGCGATAATGCTGAGAACAATGCGTGCTATGATAAAGGTTGTAATTATGATACTGAACGTTGAAAAATCATAAGTATGATGATGATGATGATGATGGTGATGATGATGATGATGGTGATGATGATGATGATGATGATGATGATGATGCTGATGTTGATAATGTTGATGACGCTCGAGATGGTTGGCTACTTGCTTGAAATAATCGAAGTATTTAACTATTTGCCCTCCAGCAAGCAACTCAATGATCAAGATGTGATCCTCTCTGCAGCTCTGGAAACTCGTATGACATTCGCGCCTGCCGTTGACCAGTCCACGACCTGATGTTTTTTTGTTGTCAGAAAAACTGCCAGTCTATAGTAGGCATCCATAATAAACCATATAATTGATCATGTCTAACATCTTCCAACTAAGAGTCTGAACCAAATAACTATGAATATGTAAATATATATATACACATAAAATAATAAATATATATATATATATTACACACATAATATCACATACTTGAATAACATTGAACATGACATATACATTACTTTTCAAACACTGAACCATTGAGAAAAGGCACAGAATTGGTTTTCTAGGTCAACTCGGCAGGATCTCTCCATCTCTCAGCCGTCTCTTGGGAATCCCCGGCGCGACGTTTCATGGTGAGGCACTCAGCGACCTTAGCGGCACCGGCTGCAGGCTGTTGGTTCACTTTAGTGGAAAATTAATGGATAAATGTGGATAATAATGTTCGATAATGATGGAATATAATGGATAATGCTGTAGTTTTCATGATTCAATGGATAACAATGTAGTAGACTATGAATAATGGATAGTGGAACAATAATTGATAATGTTGGATAATGTTGGAGAAAGATCTTACCCTCGATCATGACCAAATCATTAATGAATACGTATGAATGCGATGCTATTTAACCATCAATTGACCATACTTGATTTTTGGGTGGTCACCACTTAACAGTGCTTCCAGCAAATCATTCATAGAGCCGTTACAATATTTACACATTGTTTACACACATCAAATGGGGTTGAACATTATCTACATTATAGATATGGAAAGCCCACAAGGGAACTCCAAAAAATGATCGATCCAGGGAATCCATAGTGCCATAGTCATTGGAGAGTCCCTACCTCACAGGAGTCACCACAAATGACTAAACCTTTGGGCCTCCTCACAGTGGTTGGGATCTTTCCAATCCCCTGACAGTGGCTGATCATGGCTCCAGTTTCTGAAAAGGAAGCATGATTAAACTATATTAAACTATTAAATCCATGATGAAATTCATCATTTCGGGCATCAGGGGATCCAACATAATTTTGAGACCCAGTTTACCCAAATGGATCCACATGGTTGAACGGCTAATAGTCCATCAACTGCAGAGCATCGTGACCTGAGACTTGCCACTAGCAACTCAAGAATGCTCAAGAGCTCGAGACTTCAATGGAGGTGATTCTCGTGGTTCATCATCTCGAACAACTGGTGACATCAAAATATGTTGCCCCGGGGTCTTCGTTTTACCGCTGGCGCCCTCCCTGGGATCATCCGAATGATAGTCACAACAAAAAAAAACAAGGCGTCAAGCATTGATCGATTCATTCGCCAATGAAAAGATAGCCAAAGATGCCAAATCTGATTCCCTATTCCTGGTTCGTTAATCCCTGTAGTTTGTTGCTTGATCCCCTGCTTCCCGCAAACCATGATTCAAACAATCACCCCAGCCTCCATGCTTGACCTGAGTCGTGGCATGTCGTGGCTGATGTGGAAGACAGGTGGAGCCATGTTGAGCCACCAGGGACCCAGAACTATTCCGTGGACGTCAAAAAGGCAATTGTCATATCCCATGACGGATCCATGGTCCTGGTATATTAATGCTAACATGACTGGGGTATATTGATGGGATCTAGGTTACCATATATATTTATATATATAATTATATATATTTAGCATACATGGATCCTATGGGTATTTTCAAGCCTTGCTCAGTTAGTTAAATATTTCGGACGGACGAATCACAATCACTACAGTTCCCCATATGTGTTTCTCATCGGCCCTCGAGTCATCGAAGGAAGTCGGGTTCCCCAACAACTCATCTTCTCGACTCTTTCCAGCAAAGCTTGGTGGACCTGGAACGTGGTCGCGGGAGATGAATCATGCCCGCAACAAGGGCCATCAAGGGTTGATTCCATTCGAAAAAGAAAAAGGAAGGAATTTTGTTTGGGTTTCTCGTATCCATTTATTGAAGGTTCTAGCATCCTTGTCCCAAACCAATTCGAGGATTCTTTGATTTCTTCGTTCCCTTCTCTCATTGGATTCTATATGAAAGCATAATGGTGTCATGCTGTCGTTTTTCCTCTAGAGGTTCTGCATTTCTGCAAATGCAAATCAAATTTCATTGTTACTTACTTCCGTATTCAAAGACGTCCAGAGGTGCACACTAAACTATCTAAACTGCCATGATGAGAACACCACCAATTCCCTGAAACCACATTGTCAAATTGTTCATCCATATTCCATGGTCGGAAACAAGTCGAAACACAGAAAAACAAAACAATATGTTTTCCGATGGTTTCTGATAGATCTTCGCTGCAACCGCCCGAAGTATGGCCTGTGACCTCACGAGCTTCAGCCTGGCACAATGGTCATGCTAGGCCTCATGATGACATGGCAAATCCCGGTATATCAGGGTTTGTTATCATGGTTCCATTTAAACAAAGCTACATTTGTTAACATGTTGTTTTTGGCGTTTGGAGAATTGGGTCGAATACTTTAATAACGAACATGTTTGTTTTGAGGAAGAACCGAAACCATACTTAACTAATCTAGGTTGTGTCTTTGCAGTCTTTGCTCTCCTAATTTTAAATGTTCCTCATATTATCCCCATATTATATTGTATATGTATGTAATATATATATATATATGTATCCTATATATATATCCTACATATATTATAATATAGTTATATTATGTTATACTATTTATATATATATATATAAGTGTGTCAAAACCTTGTACCCCTGTAGTTCACATGAAAATAGCTGGTAAATGGATGTTCATCCCACTAAAAATGGTATTAATAGGTATTGATCCATACCCATGTATGCCAACCAATGATGGTTTTATTACTTAGTTACCATAGTCATATCATGTCACCCCATATTATGATATATATTGATATATTATGGTGGTTATATCCCACCAGTTATATATCGATTTTCTGGTGAGCTCCCCATTTTGCATCATTTACTGTCCACCCCCCCAGTCCACCTTGGGAGAGTCCAGGGACCTGCAGTTCAGGTTGAACTGGTGTCTTCGTGAAAACGACCAAGCATGTGGCCTAGATTGTTTGGGCATACATAAATGGTGATTTAATGGTGATTTCATGGTGATTGAATGGTGATTGAATGGTGATTGAATGGTGACCAATGGTGAATTTCTGGTTGGTGGTTTGAACCACTTTGAAAAATATTAATAACTATGGAAAATCACCATGTTTATTGGGTAAATCAACTATTTCTATGGCCATTCTCCATAGCTATGTTAAATTACCAGAGTATATTTGCTATGGTTATGTGGTTGGTGGTTTTAACATGTTTTAACCATCTGGAAAAATATGAGTTCGTCAATGGGAAAAATGACATCCCATATATGAAATGGACAATAAAACATGTTTGAAACCACCAAGCAGTCATAAATCCGTCATACGAGAATCATATAAAATGTGTGACAATTTGTTTCATCTCAACCTGGGTGAACCCGCGAGATGTTGCTTCTTTGGAACAGGTCATAGCCAATCCCCAACTCTCGTAGATCAGCCATATATTCATCATCAATATGTGTTTATCTAATAAAATATAATATCTGGGTTGATTGACAATACATATAATATATATATATAGTATTTATCTAATAAATTCTAAAATCAAAAAATCAATACAATACTATCACAGTCACGTTTCTTAGGATACCCTCTGGTTGTTGAACATATAGCTATGGAACCCTTGAAAAGTTCGACGATCTTCGATGGCACCAAGGAGTCCCGACACGGGGCAGCTGTTCTTTCGGCCAGCTGCCTGCCATCGACGATTCGAGTTGCCAAGTTGTGGCATGGAATCAAAGGAAAACTGTGGGAAAAACAGTGGGGGAACATATGGGAACATCATGTATTAATGCAAATCTACAGTGGGAATATAAGACCAATAATGGATAATAATGGGACATACAAACAGGAAACCATGGAGTTGGAATGTGGGAAACCCAATGCCATTGGCACCATCCCAAATACCACCAGAAATGGTTGGGATTTTAACCGTCGGTAAAGGTAGGTTTATGTCATTATGTCATTTAATTATCACATTAATTACAATCCGTTCCAAAATAATCTCCGGTAAATCTAGAATGGACATTTCTCATACTTTTTCTACTATTCAAGGGTACCATTCAGGGTTTCAACTTGGGTCCCGAAACGAAGATGACACGACCACAAACTAAATTGTCAAATGATAACTTTTTGGATCACATACATTCGGTTTCGATTTCAAGTACATGGATGGAATCATTTCGGAACTCTAATCTGCATTTTTAAAGTAAACATTCAAAAATCCCAGACACAAGTTAATGTAGGCCCATATCTGATGGTTCCTCCAATCTTACTGTGCACTATGTCAACTCATCATTGAGAACATGGTGAGGTTTCACAAAATCATCATACAAATGATGCAGCTCGAATGGGATATTGATTGGAGTGCACGCAGGTACAATATCACATAATTATACATAATTGGGATTAGTTCTGAGAATGTTCTGAACACATAAATTCACAATTATCATATTATTGGCAAAAATAGTTCCAAACAGGCGGTCCCGCCCTCTTGGGATCTAAAAATGGAGCAATTTCGCATGGGAATACTTCCATTGCTGGGATGCCTGGTGGGGTATCTGCCCCTAGTTCTTCACAGCCTGGCTGCAGATTGAGACCTCATCCTGCTTCTGCAGTTGGTCTTGGAGCTCTTCTTCAGACTGTCAGAAGGGGACGCTGGGGTTGGTTGCCCATAAGACTTGCCTGGAACACGTGTTGCAAATGCCGATTTAGATGTATTCCGTATTCCGCCTTCCCATCTTCCCATAAATACCAATTGGAAACTGTGGGCACCTTAACAACGGTTTCTGCAATTTGATTTAAACTCTGCACCGAAAATGCTCACCAATCGCATCAGCTGTGCTGGGACTATTCTTGCATTTGTTGATTTGTTTGAGGGATGCATCCATTTGTTTAAACCCTCGCATTTTCATCAGTGGTGAGTGGTGACTGGTCCAAACATGCAACAGTACCAGAGAACAAAATCAAAAAAAATGTTGATATATTTATCCGTTCAAAAATTGGGTGTTTACTTCATGCCCCGTACAAGTACCAAACTGTGATCGGTTGATTCTGTCGTTTCACTGGTAAAGAATTGAAGCAAATCATCATGCAATATTTGATTTTCTTCATTTTAGGATGTGCATATGTGTACATATTTGTAAATTTAGGTTGATTATCATGTTTACCGAAGGAAGTTTAGAAGTCAAACTTCCGACAATATGGACAGATGGAAAAGCAGAGGTGGGAAGAGTCAGAGAAGAGAAGACAAGAGAAGAGAAGAGAAGAGAAGAGAAGGGAAGAGAAGGGAAGCGAAGGGAAGCGAAGCGAAGCGAAGAGAAGAGAAGAGAAGAGAGGAGAAGAGAGGAGAAGAGAGGAGAAGAGAGGAGAAGAGAGGAGAAGAAAAGAGAAGAGAAGAGAAGAGAAGAGAAGAGAAGAGAAGAGAAGAGAAGAGAAGAGAAGAGAAAAGAAGAGAAGAGAAGAGAAGAGAAGAGATGAGATGAGAAGAGAAGAGAAGAGAAGAGAAGAAGAGAGGAGATAAGAGAACAGAAAAAGTCAGAAGAAAGAAGATGGAGATGCGCGAAAAGGTAGGAAAGTCGCGATTCACTGTGTTTTGCCAATGATTTGTGGCTCCGGGGGGTCGAAAAGTAGGCTCGCTAAAGCGGCGGGTGCGGAGCCAGCTGGCCAGAGGAGAGATGAAAAATTGCACGCCGTTGTGGCGCGAAGCACATTTCCAAGTCAAAATGTACAAAACACATTATTCTCGGACCACTTTTGGAAGTTGAGATGTCGAAAAAGTGCACACGTTCGTGGCGCGAAACACATTTCGAAGTCAAAATGTGCAAAGCAAGCCATTCTCAGACCACTCGTGGAAGTTGAGATGTTGAAAAAGTGCACGCCGTTGTGGCGCGAAGCACATTTTGAAACCAAAATGTACAAAACACGCCATGTCAGAACACTTTTGGAAGTTGAGATGTCGAAGAAGTGCACGCCGCTGTGGTGCGAAGCACATTTTGAAGTCAAAATGTACAAAACACACCACGGTCAGAGCACTTTTGGAAGTTCAGATGTTGAAAATGTGCACAC